ATTAATCTCAATGAGCGATAGTTGTGTTGAAAGAAACTATACAAAAACGAATGAAAGAGGGGAAAAAACCAAAAAGCATACTATCTTTGGTTTTAAACCATTTGTAGATTGATCTTTCAGAGTCAAATGTACGTCCAATTTTGAGCGTTTGGCTGCGCGCACACTACGCTGCAGCAAAGTAAAAGCATAAGATATAAAAGAAAAAATTTAAAGCTTTGAAAATTATTAAATTTTACTCGGAAATTTATAAACCATCATTATATTTCCCTTTAATACATAGTTTTTTTCATCAATTTAAATGAGCATAATCCATACAGAGAGTGCAAACATTTTGTTATTATGAATTGAAAAACGCTGACTCCGCGATTTTAAATGTTAGAGCCTAACACAGAGCGAGCGCGAGCGGAGTGGCATGCTACCGGCGCGAACCGCGCACTGACGCCTACAAACCTAAGGGGATACTTCACGCATTGCGCAATGCTAGAAGTATCCCCTTAGGTTTGTAGGCGCCCGTGCGCGATTCCCACTGGCCGCCCGCCCGCCGCACCGCAACGTGCCACGGCGTCTCAAGCAACTATTTCACAACAGAGGTGTTGTATGTACCTACAATATCATACAAAATTGCAGGCGCTCCAACATATTAAGAATGACAGGCATCCTTTAGGAGTACAAAGCTTTCCTCGCAAAAGCTCCCTCCAGGATTCGAATAGTTGTGCGCTTGGATTCCGCTTAAAAGAAGGTGTGAATAGTGGAGCAGAATAATATGCAATTTTTCCAGCAGTTTTGTGAAAAAGAAAAAAAAAAGAAAAAAAGGGGATTCTGCGCTTTCGTCTCGATGTGGCAATAAATTCGCGATTTTCCGAGTGGTTTCGTTAAAAAAGAGTGAAAAATTGTTCCGCGAATCATATGTGGATATCGCGGGCACTAGGCGACTTACGCGTCGCGGCGTATTTAGGTCTCTGGATTTTATTGAATTTAGGGCGGCACTTAGGTCGTTTATATGGTTCTTTGCAGTGATTTTTCATTAAAAAAATAGTGTTGCTATTTTTACCTTCTTCTTTCTTTTTTTTTCTTTTTTGGAAGGGGGTCTGTATTTCCCCCGATTTTTTTTTAACATTCAAACTTGATCGGAAGATCACCATCGCTTAAAGTATAATGCAAAAATCTTGGTAAAATAGCAACACAACTTTCTTTGTACAACGAGAGCGTCGCTTTCAATATTTGTACACGTAAGAATAGTGATCAAAAGAATCCCTTTTTTGAAGGTTCTTTGTTTTGAATTCTGCCATTTCAAACCCTCCCACAACCCGCGGCAAAAAGAAAGGGGGAAAAAATAGCAACACTATTTTTTGAATGAAAAATCACTGCAAAGAACCATATAAACGACCTAAGTGCCGCCCTAAATTCAATAAAATCCAGAGATCTAAATACCATTAGAAAGCTCTATTTAAGAGGAACATTTTAAAAAAAGTTCATTGAAATCGGTTGAAATGCGCAGCGGAGTTATGCATTTTTAAGAGTTTTCACTTCAAAAAATGGCAACGTCGCACATCGTCGGCCGAAGGTGAAAAAACGGCTCATGTTGGACACCTTACTGCTCTGTGTTGTTATTTCAACGTAAATTGAACGTAAGGGACCCCTAGTTCACGAATGATTCAGTGATATAAGATGCATTCACATTGCTCAAAAGCGCATGTGACCAACTTTGAGCGGTCATATCTCGGAAACTAAACGTTTCCCCGGGATGATCTTGTGCTCGTTAGAAAGATGAGAACCTGAACTCTCACTTAAACTGGTTTTCGTTTAGATTCCGTCAATTCCACGACCGTGGTAAAATAAAAACAAATTATTTGTGTCTGTCAAAAACTGCTAAAACCGCGCAAGTGCCACTTAAAGCCAAGTAAACCCAGAAAACTATACACCACTAGAAAGCTCTATTTAAGAGGAACATTTTAAAAAAAAGTTCATTGATCTCTGTTGAGATGCAGCGGAGATATGAATTTTTAAAGGTTTCCACTTTGAAAAATGGCAACGTCGCAACCCGGCGCTTCTAAGCAAAACGGCGACCGGTTTTGGACGTCTCGAAAGATACTGTATCACCCCAAGTGTTCAAAATTCGAGAATGCCTTGAGGCATTTTTGGCCGTTTTTTCACACACCTCTTTACGACTTTAAATTTTGAACCAAATCTGCTGCTATCGAATACGAAAAATCATGGAGAAGTTAAGTTTTATGTTGACCAGCTTCCGAAAGAAAAATAAAAGTTTTAAAAAAGTCTGCAACGTCGCAAATGGAGAAACGTCGTCTCTCATTTTGCCCAAAAATGTGTATGTATGAAATTTGAAGGCATTATGACTTTTCTCTCTCAACTTATATTCGTCTGTAACGATAAACAATGGGACGCGTTTGCTACGGCGCCTTGATACAACTATACAACCTCGACGGATGTCCGTATTGCGTTCAAAAAATTGAAGGCGTTTTGACTCCCTGCTCATACTACCTGCAGTTGATTGGATCGACAAACGCGTTGGTCGGCGGTGACGGGGACTTGATGCAACTTTTTACACTTGATGTATGTCCGTATCGGTCCGACTGAATTGCGAAACCATGTATCTCCAATTGCGGTGTTTCCAAATTTCCGTTCTTAATTCATCTCTTCCATGAGAACAATCCGAGACAAATTTGGAATTTATCTCGCCTATTTTAAAATGCCCTTTTTTCCCCCTCAAAGAGGCCACATCGTGCGATTTCGTCGATGATTGTTCGTAACATTCTTCTTCTACTCTTTCTTTATTTTCCAAATTTTTTTCATTCATTTTTTTTTTACAAATATTTTCATTTTGCCACTTGGGTTGCCCATGAAGGTTCTGGATTGGGTTACCCCTTGGATAAAACGTAGAGGACACCCTGCCAAATCGTGGATTGAGGGAACAATAAGGCAGGAAATGAGGAGATGCGATCTGTCGAGGGAGCTCTGGCAGGATCGCTGTCGCTGGCGGTTGGGTGTCGCAGACGCAGAGCGCACAGAAGCGGAGCAAGAGCGAATGATCAGTGGTAGTAAGAGATTCTGATTAACCGAGGGATTATGTGGAACAGTGAGAAATTGCTCCTGTTCGCGCTATTTGGGTGAATATCGCAGAAAATACACGATACATCGCGTATCTGTAATTAATTGAGAAAATACGACGCTATTTTTGCTTAACTATCGTGGCAAATACAGGATTTTTGCAGCAAACTCGAACAAAAATTTAAATTGAACGATTTACTCCCCTAAACCGCGAAACATTCGCGGTTTTGATAAAGATGCGAACATACTATCCATACTAGTCACCAATTTGAGACATTTGAGAGAGACAGGCAGAGCTATGATTTTCCTTCAATTTCGTGTGATACCACATACCTACTCCCAAGTTCGAATAGTTGCACGCTTGGTTTTCGCACACACACACACACACGCATGAAAGCATGATACCTCCGTTGATAAACGTCAGTAAATTGAAGGAGGGGAAAAGCTAAAATATTCCTTCATTTTCGCGTGAAAACACATACCCTTCTGCGATGATTTTCATAAGGATACCGTGAACCTTCAACAAATGCTCGATTTTACAGCAATGCATGAGATCCCGGGAAATAGCTCGATTTTCAGCTCAAAATTGCGGGATGTATGTGATTTTATCTGCCCTTTTATGGAAGCGTAAAAAATTCTGTGATCCTCAGCTCGGTTTGACGGCATCCCGCGAGAAATCTAGCCGAAGATTTGTAAAATAAGGCATACATCACGCGACCTCTCCTCAGTTCTGACCATGATTGGTGTCTTCTATGTAAACTACATGACAAAAAAATTTGACCAAAAAATTTTTTGAGAGCAGGAATAAAGGGATCTCTCTTTGTCTCCTTTGCTTCTCTAAGGACTCTTTCATCCCTCTTTCACCCATTCTTGGTTTTGAGGGAGGATACTTGAAAAAGAAGGAAATCTGAAATTTGTATGGTACCTATACCTATACAGTTTGAATTCACATTTTCAAAAAACAATTCATTCTATTCGACATATTTGGATTTTCAAAAGATCAAGTCCTCAAAACTTATTGTTGGCCATTCTGAATGTGTTCAGTCATTTATGAACGTTTCTGGTCAAACATGATTACTTCTGTTAATTCCTTGTCATTCTGGTCATTTCGATGATTTCTAAAATTTCTGGTCATCGTGGGAATTTCTGATTATTTTGGTCATTTTTTGTCATTTAAAACATTTCTGATCATTCTCCAGGATTTAAACTAACAGGTAAAATCTATTGATGAGAGATGACCGATACTTATTTTTCAAGTTAAATGAATTAAATCAAGATCTTAACTCGCCAGCACTTTGTACGACTTCTTTAGGTCAAAGGCATCCAAAGAAAATGTGCGGAAAAATAGCGCCATAACGCTCGGTTGATATTCAATTCCTTCTGTCTTGTTGTTTTTTCGAATGCCCAGAACGCACGTGGTATAGTAAAATGCTGATTTGGAAAAAATGAATAAATAAATGAGATTGAGGCAAAAAAGTTGAGTATATAATAATTAAAGTAACTGAATTATTGGTTCGTTATTAAAAAAACTCTTGCAGTTCATTAAGTGATGAGTACTCTCACAGAGATTCCAAGAAAATATGACAGCTTATGAGTCAGTCCTATATAGACAGGGTCATAGTTTAACCACCTTAGCTTTTACACCAAAAATCTGAGGATAAGTGCAGGCCAAGGGTAAAACCATACTGAGTTAATTTTTCATTGTTATTATTTTGCGCTCACAAACCATGAGTGTGACCTTTCACAGTAAAAAACCTCCATACCGAAAAACTCAAAACCTAGGTATTGCTACTGCCACTTAGAGGAAAACTTAAAGAGCATTTTGATACAGAAACACTCAGAAATTTTGAGACCAAACAAGAAATAAGGCTGTTTGGAGTTTGGAATTCGAAAAAGTCATTTTAAGGAAAGAACAATTTGAACTTTCAATTTGGTACGATTATAGAACTTTACTCCTTCAATTGGTACAAATATAAACTGAGCCACTAGTAACTTTTTATTCTGAATACAGGAGAGTGTTCTCCATCGGAAAGTTAAATCTTCTTTTTTCCATCCAAATCTATTAGAATCAGCTCTCTTAAAAAATTGACAACTGCGGATGGTCACATATGAACTCGCTTGCAATTTTATAGACTGTTTTGAATCAATCAAACAGGCTCTTCACATAGAAAATGAATGAAGAGAATGCTGCAAACCTATTTGAAAGATGGCGTCGACTAATAGAGGTTAGAAAATACAAGAAACGGTGAAACTAAACAACAGTGGATGAATTGTGTATGACAGTAAGCAGATATTTCTGAATTCTGAGATCCAAGAAAGAGTATAAGGTTTTGATTTCAAAAAATGTTAGATTTGTTTAGAAATGGCTGTTAATTCTTTGAAAAATACTAAATGCTGGGGTAAAATGCTGATACAATAACTAATACTGACATTAGTTAGTCCCAAAACAAAGGAAATTGAGATATAAAATTGAAGACTTAAGACTGAAGTTACATATTTATATTTTTGAGCAACCGATGAAAAGTTTTTTACAAAACAGTTGAGGGTTTCTGTTGCTGGATTTTTTAGACAAGTCATGTTTTAGAGTGATCACTAAAAAAAGTTGGTTGACAAGCAGTCTTAGCTGAAGTTGATATACTATGCTCTAATGGACAATGATCAATTTTGAAGTTTTATTGCTTCAAAAGCTATTGAATGAAGAGAAAAAATTAATGCTGAGAAAATTTACGTACTTAATAATGAAATTATGATACACTAGTTTAAAAAAAGAGAATAAATGAACAGTGATGGGAAAAAAATGGAAAAGTGTTTCCTTTAACATTACTTTCTGAACAGTTTTAAGTATCTTGAGAGAAGACGCTCATCGTGCTCATTATAAGATTTAATCGGAGGTAGTGATAAAAAAAAATGAATAAAAAAAACAAAAACTATATAAAAAAGTTCCACAGAATTTCTACAAATATCATTAATCAAAAGTCATATTTTCTCAGGTTGCATTTTTACTTCCAAAGGTATGAAACGATTTTCCGAGTTATTCCGATTAGATTCCTGGTTTTACAAACGAGGTCAATACTATCAAAACTTGTTACATATTTAAGTCTTCACGCAAGATTAAATTTAACAAATAGCAAATCAGGATCTTGAAGACACCGCTTTACATTTCTTCCTTGTCTACTCATTACTGATACAGCTAATTTAGATAAAAAATACAAAAATTCAAACAGTTATAATAAATGCTAAAGAATAAACTTGAATGCATATTAAGTAAACTTCTAAGTAAGAGAGTAAGCAGGATTCTTTGGAAGTGTAATTTCCTCTTAATTATTGCTATCTGTAGACTCTCTGTGGAACGCACAGAGGCAGAGGCGGAACAGGAGTTAAAAAAATCGAAAACTTTAAAAAATAACAAAGACGATAAAAACCCCTAGACAATTGTTCTACACTAATTCCAATTCAGCTTCGGTTGTCACGCAATGAGTCATATCTGTTATCGGATGGTCTATTGTAATCAGATCTGTCTGACCGGTTGTAGTCTGATCTGTTGTAGTCGGATCTATTATAGTCGGATCTATTGTAGTCGGATCTATTGTAGTCTCTGTCCGATCTATTGTAGTCTGAATTCGATGACCTATTGAAAGATGGAGGTCCACGTATTGTTCTACTATCACGAGGGAGTGCTGATGGCTGCTGAGGCTCGTCTGTTCTCCTGCAAGCAAAGATACTTTTTTTAGGAGGGAACTTAGAATAACGAGATGAAAAAGGCACATAAGCGTAGCAACATTTATAGAACATGAAAGACATAAAAAAATATTGAAAGAAAAACTTGAAGCACTCTCAAAAAAATTACCGGTCTTTCTCAAAAAATTTCTCAACAATTCTTGGTGTTCTAGACATGGAGGTACCCTTTTTAAATTTTACCACAAAATAAATGATAATGGTATCAAGTGAACCAACGAATTATTAATACAGCAAGAAGGGACAACGCATAGGAAGGGCAGATAGAAGCACTCCATATGGACCGTGTTCCCAAAAAAAGGATTCCGACAATTGAGTATTTTAGATTCTAGAGTGCTTATTTTCGAACTCATTCACTTTCAGTCTTATAAAATAGACACTTACTTTTTTCCCCAAGCTGATGTTGAAGCTGGTGCTTTCTTGGCTTGGTCTAAAGTTGGAAATGATGAAACATCTCCAAGATCAGGTGTTTGTCCTTTCTTCAGATTTTTCACTGCAAAAAAACAGAACACAACAAAATGTCACTTATAGATAAGAACAAAATAGGCCAGCCAAATAATTTTGCTGAACTAATGAAATTAAGGTTAATACGGCTGAATTCTCATTCTTTCCAGGTTGTTTGGTAAATTTTTTTTCTTCATTTCCCTGACAGTCATACCTTTGAAATTTCCGTTTTCAAGACCTTTTTATCCAAATCAGAAAAACTCAAAAATAAATATGGCTTAGCACCAAGTCTTAGTGCAGGCCCATGATGGAAGTCTATTTGTAAGGGAAAAATTCACGAAAAACCGGAAGAGAGTGTTATAGAGCTCGGTGTTGAAGCGCTGTGAAGTTAAGCAAAAAATCATAGCCTTGTATGACACCTGGTAGGACACCTGTTTGCAACTCCTGGTTTCACACTCACTCTCCCTAACTCTTCCAAACCTCGCTCCGACCAATTTCACTACCTTGCTTTAAGTAGAGTCAGAGACCACATGACTGTCCAAGATTGAGTTGGAAGTCATATTTTTGAAACGTTTTGCGGAGTAATGAGGTCACAACTTAACCCTATTTGTGAAAAAGTATTTTCTTTAAAATTCATCTATCATCTGGCGAGACTTGATGCTGTCGTAAAATAAAACACGCTGCCATGTGTTTTTAATTGTAAGATGGTAAGAGCAACTTCATCAGACGCTGCCACTTAATACTCAAGCCATCGTGTCCGCAGTTACAACTCTGTAAACATTTCTTAGAGCACCAGGGGTGCAGAAAACTCCAAACGCTCGCCAAGACAACCACATGAAAATGTTGAGGGACCCTAAAATTGTGGGAAAAGGGAACACTTTTAAAGATCAAAAGTCGAAATTCAAACGTAAAGGAAGAGAAAGGTCACCAGTTTTTCAATTGGTGTGCGATCTTGTGGAAAGACTGTGAGAAACATATGACGAACGCATTAAAATGTGGAGGCCTTGAAGAGTTTACACGCTTATGAAACACTTAACTACCAAAGGACAGTTCTTGACCATGTGTGGTAAAGAGCAGGACCACTTGATTGTGAGCTAAGCTCTACACCATAGATGCTATTGTTGGTTATGTTACAATCATATCAGGTTAAATCAGAACAATTACGAAGACAATTTTTGTCAATGCTACCATCAGAACAAATCATTGCATATTGTTCTTTGGTAATATATGTAACACTAATATTATCTTCGAAGATAAACCTCCTATTAAAAAGATGAGGATGGTACAGCTCACTTGTTCCCAAAACAAACAGAGTTATTTTTTAGCTTAACTTACATGAAGCTCTTTGTAACTGTTTTTCTTGCATCATTGCTTGCCTTAAAGCTGGACTTATGTATTTCCCTGAGGCAGGCTGAGCAGCTGGAGGCACTTCTGCTGGTTTGGCTGGAAAAATAAATGGTGGACGTGATTTAAATTCAAAAATTGATGGGAGTGTGGTAATTAAAAACTAAAAGTAATGGTGGAAGTGTGGTGTTAATAACTTTGAAATGCATGATTTGGAACAAATGCGAAAATGAAAAAAGGTCCTTCATAGATAATTTTACGATTTGTTTAATACATAATTACAAAGCTCTCATTACAACCAAATGAGTCGATTTGGCTAATTATTTAGATTGCTTCACTTGTAAGTACTGAGCGCTCAGAGCACTTTCTTTAATGAAATACTTTAGTATCACAATATCAGAGAGAACATTGGAACATCTGGAACATTGAAAATTGATGTTAATATGTATGTCAACGGTGTAAGTCGGCAATCACATAACTCGGTTTGCGATGTCACAGACTTCCTGTCATACTTTATTATTTTAAACAGAAACCTACTCAACGGCAATTCTTTAAAACTGCCATGATTTTTCTTCTCTGTGTGAAAAAAATTCTGCATAAACTTCAAGGAAAGATGTCAATTTGTTCTCCTTTGAAAAATAATGTAGAGGCGGAGATTTTCAGACACTGCAAACAAGTTATGTGATTGCCAAATTACACCATCGATATACTTGTATCACCATACTTCGATGCCTGAATTGATGATTTGGGCCGTATTGAGCAGAAAGGAACTAAGTCACATAGGCCATGGGCAAACTTTATCCGATGATTTGATACTTATCGGTGAACCGTGATGGAGAATCATTTGAAGATTTCCAGAGATTTTTTTGTGTTGTGGAACGAATTCTCTGAAATTTTCAACAGATTCTGTACGACTGTTTTCCAGTATAAAGATCAATCATTCAATAAAATTTGGCGATGGCTGAAGAGCCTTGAATCCTTTCTGCTTAACGCAGTCTTCATATTTATACTTCTCTTGGATAACTCAAAGCAGACTTTCAGTGGGATACCTTGAGAAATTTGAAATAACCTAGGTATTTTAGCTGAGAATTTGTCAGTGAATTTCACAGACTAAATAAGGGCAACGACTTTTGTGGTGCATATTTTGAAGGACTTACGTTCCGGTTCCGGCTCAGGCTGTGCCTGCGGCTGAGGCGCAACCATTTTCCATGGCCCTTGCTTGCGTCTGCTCCCAGGCTGGGTTTCATTTCCTTCTTCATCAAAGCCATCATAATTGCTATCGTTTTGATCCCCATTTTCTGCATCATTCTCCGAAATTTGGAGGTGCTGAATTTTCAGACTTGAGTAGTCTTTTTTCTCCTCCGTGAACTCTTTCCATTCATCCTCATCCTAATAATTAAAATTGGAGAGAGAGGAAAAATTAATTCAGCTACAAGTTAAAATTTAGTCTGGGAAAATAAAATACAATAATCAGTTGGTACAACGTTGGTGTGCAAGACCGACAAGTAGAAAACATATTGATTGGTACCTTGTCCCATGCCTGGGGCATCAACTTCTTACGTATTCTCCAGCCCAGAATACAAGTAAACTATCCATAAGAAACAGAGCTCATTGCGTGGTGCTGTTGTAACTGAGGTCACGAGGTTACAACTAAGAGCATGGTAAAAAATACAGTTATTACTCTGGTGGACCAAAATGGGGTCTCCATTAGTAGGACAAGGTTCGAATTTGTATTTTTCCTCGTAACCTCATTGCAAATGTAAGTAACCTAGTTGAGGGATTTCTTTGCATGAGAATCTTGTAGATTTTCGGGTCAGGTAGAGACAAAATGTATAACCAAGATGATAATATGCAAAGTAAGGCTGTACACTGCTCGGTGAAGAACATTTTTCTAGGTAAATAACATTACCTTCATCCAATGGACGAATCAGTGACAGTATTACTTTTGAAATCATGCCCGAAGTAATCAAGCCTAGAAAAGGCATTAGAAACCAATTTTAATTGCTTTTCAGGCTTTTTTTAAAAACTTGTTAGAAGAAAGATATTTTCTTTCCACAGCTCTGCAGAGTTTACGGTTAAGAATGGCAACAGAAGTATTTAGAATGGGTAATCAGTTGATAAAAATGATTCAGAGATGGAGCATTTGATCAACAAAGGAACAATTAGATGGAGCTAAGAGGACTAAACTGGGAAATTTCTTGACTTCCGAAATAAACAGTATGAAAACAGAGATGGAAAGGTAGACGCTTACTACTTACATTCCAGTAAGGCGCTTAGGGAATGGTGCCACTTGTGAAAGAACTATTAAAACTCTAAACAAAAGCGCAGTTCCCGCAAGTCTCAGCATTTGGATGCAAGTGTTGGGTAGTTGGACAGCGCAAAAGTAATAGTGACACGGCAGGAATGAGATACTTGAAAAATACCATAGGCTTTCGCGATCCAGAGAATATCACTAGGTACAGAGTGATACTTACATTGAATGCAGGAGCTGCAGTTTCATCAGCAACTATGTCCTGAGCTAAGTTGTTTGTAGGGACTGATGAGGCAGTCATTTTCTCTTTCTTTAGTTTCTCTGTTTTTTTGGACGTTTCTTCCAGCTTTTTGGCGAGGTCATCAGTGGTTGTAAATTTCTTAGTAGTTTTGCTCTTCTTACGGTCTTTCTTCGCAAAAAAGTCGTCCAAGTCGGCCATGGTGTAGGAGCACTATTTCACTTTAATCAAAAGAATAAAAATTACTATCTAGAACTATAATAAACCAACTGAGAGAGGAATAACATGTGCTTCAATGAGGGAAGGATTTGCCACAGTATCAGAATCAAGATTTTAGGCGGGCACTGCGATATCTGTGATATGAGAGTCTGATGGGACTGATTTTCAGCGCCTTTTGCAATACACAGACATTGAAGGAACTGAAAGTTAAAAAAGTTGCAAATCGTTCGAATAAATATTCAATTTTAGTGCGTTTGAGGCAGAAGTAACTTTATAAGAACCATCTATTTGGCAACGTTTACTAAAGCTCTGATTTTACCTGCGCAGAAAATATATTTTTGTTCACAGCGCATCGACGATGTGGTCAATTTTAGTGTTCTTTTGTAACAAGAGTCGAGACATGTGAGATCAATCTGTGATTGGCTCGCGTTATTGTAAGCTGCTGTACTGATAACCCTAACTCGTAATGCTAGCCAATGAGACGGCTGGAAAGAGCAACTTTCAACTCTCATTCGCTTCACATGAACTAACTCTCCCTGTATAAGCTGTAGTCTAATCGCCTCAAAGTTCTCGCTCAGCTTGATTTTCGACTGTGAAAATGTTGGATTTTACTGTGCTAATCGTTCGCTGAATTCGTAGTCTTGTCTCCTGTCTGATCCTCTTTTATGTGATTGTGATCATCGTGCCCTATATTTTTCTGCGAAAGTTTTTAATAATCGTTATTCCATTGTGAATCTTGGCTGCAAGTTTTTTATGTTGCTCCCAATTAGATCATTCCTGAACGTTGAGTTGTCCTTGCTTGCCAGGTAGGTTGGAGTGATGTTTATTATTTTTGATCAGGGACTTCTTACTATCATATTGCCATGAATCTGAAAAATGAGATGGCCCCTTCCGATAATTGCTGTCCCCTGGTTTTTTCCAATAAACTCCAAGGGTAGGTAGCTATTACCATGTTAACAGAAACTAGCGGTAATACACTACCCTCTGGAGTAACAGTTGTCAGCAGAATTTAACTGTCTTATGCGATTATAAACTCAGCCGTCATAATGAATTGATGTTTCTTCACATTTATCCTGTGTACCCAGGGTTCTCTTGTCCTCATTATTTTTAAAGTGCAAGAATCATCCTTCTAAGATTGCTTATCAATCATATGGAAGTAGCCCTCTGCAGCTGTATCAAGGAAAAGTATAAATTACTGGAATATGAAACTGTGGACAAAGTTCATTTACATTTTTTACATGCGCGTAAACATGGTTGTCCTAGGTCCCGGTTAAATAATGTGCTTGATTGACTGATAAGATATCTTTAAACGTCAACACTGTTGACATGGTACTTAGTTCCTCAGGCATTTCCATAGAGATGTTTCAGTCAGGATTTAAATACATCAATTCCTTGTTTCCCTCATCATTGTTGGATCAAGTCCCACTGGGCACGCCAAATTTTGTTGATGGTTTTCAAAGGAGGATGTTAGAAGATGAGTAGTTAGGTGCAGAACATGCGGAAATATCATTTAAACCATGCAAAAAATTTGACTAATGGCGAGAGAGCAAGGCGGATAAAGAATGGTGGTCGCATTTCGATTTTGGCTGCCATCTTGAAGCGTTGTGACGTCAAGAGGGTACGGGTTTTGCCGTGCAATCCGAGGTTGAGTCGGCCAGCCCATGTACCCGATACTGTGTGACGTCCAGAGGGTACGAAATGCGACCACCATTCTTTATCCGCCTTGGCGAGAGAATGATAACATCTTCAAGGATTAGATATGCGTCCACATGAAGCGCTGCAACCTTATGTGTATGTAACACTGAGAGCTGCTCACAACTCGTATGTCTATCTATTTAATGGGAGAACATTTACTATCATCTGGAAAAAATTGTTTTGAATAATCCTATTTTTTCTGTTGGTTTCCAGCTAAACGAGATGACCTACATTGAAGGAATTGGCGATGAAGTCATTGAGTGTTTAATTGTTCTGGTGATCATTGTTTTTGCAACACTAGCATGGTGGTCCACATCAACCTCCGACCGTCCTTTGATGCGCACAGTCTACATCGTAGCACTTCATGGTAGATCTGCCTCTGAAAACGGTCAACCTGTTGGACTCACCGAGGCCCAAAACGGTATGTTCTTACGAAGTTATAATGTGTGCACAAAGTTTATCAAATTACGACTAACTCATGAAAAACCGTGCATACTTGCCCTCGGCATACAATGAAAATGGACTAAGACAAGAGACAATTGTAGAAACGCTCCCAGCTACATTAACCATATCTTACCCTCGGCTCCAAAATAAGAGCTGGCTAGAGCATATTTTTCTCATCAGATGGGTAGAGCAAAAGAGTAGAATCCAATTCCCATCAATCTAAAATTTTCAAAGGATGCAAATTACAGCTTTTATGCAGGATGGATTTTATCCTCTAGCCGTTTGAAGTACGTCCTTACTTTTTGATGAATAAATTCCCCACATGTTAAAAATGTAGAGTCTGATCCATATTAGTTACTCGTGACAGATATCTACCAGGCTGGATAACTAAATGTGTTGGATGAAAAATTGTCCAACTTCAAACAAAATGAGAAAAAAAACTGATTAAGCCCCAGGCTTTTAATGAATCAACAAAGTTTTTGGTGCAGGTTGTCAACCAGTCGTAGAGAATCTACCTGGCAATGTTCTGATTTCTTTTTTTTTTTTTTTGTGTGTGGAATTTCAGAGAATTAAGAAATATGGAGGGAAATCTTTTACAAAATATCAAACTTCACCCAAAATTTTTTGGAAAAAAATAACCAAAATTTTTATTTGACCCTCAAAATAATTTTTCTGCATTAGTGAACATAAGTTCATGAACTTTTTTGTATGTTTGGCTTAATCAGTAATACATTTAACCATAGACATGGTAGGAGACAAGACTAGAGTCTAAGCTATCCCCTAAGGTTGAAATGCAAAGGCAAATACATACCGACGGTGAAAGTCGGCAATCACATAACTCGTTTGCGGTGTCTGAAAATCTCCGCCTCTACGTCATTTTTTTAAAGGAGAGCAAATTGACATTATTTCTTGAAGTTTTTGCAGAATTTTCTTCGCATTGAGAAGAAAAATCATGACAGTTTTAAAGAATTGCCGTTGAGTAGTTTTCCATTTAAAAAATAAAATATGACAGGAAGTCTGCGACGTCGCAAATCGAGTTATGTGATTGCCGACTTGCACCGTCAATACGTAAAGCTGACAGAAAAGTACATCAAAGGTGAAAAATTACCAGTCATAATGCAAATATGTTCAATATTTATTGTTTGTAAGAGGTAAATACCGTCTTAGCAAGAATAACGAACAGAAAGAGGAGGAGAAACAAAGAAATAGAGCACACGCATGAACCTAACGGTTATTTAATAATCTACATACTGATGATTTGATGTAAATCAATTAACGTTTTTATCTCTGTTAGCCATCAATTAATCAAATTAATTATTTATTGAGTAATCTGTTGCAACTCAATTATGCAAGAGCTCCATCAAATCTAGTTTAATATTTCAGACCCCCCCCATGAATGAACCATTTCAGGCAAGGAATGAGTAAAGCATAATGCATGGAAGATGAATACATATGTCCAAGTGGCAACATTGATATGTACCTGATGTGTTTATTTTCCTTCTTCTTCTTTAATTGCTATTGTCCAGATTTAATAGGTGGCACTAAAACTGAATGTCAAGTTTTCCCTATTGAATCTCTTTACCATTCATACTTGCCAGCATAAAAAAATGAGAAGAAGAAAAAATTTTATTAGCTGCCCGTGTCCTCCAGGTGGCTGTGGAGCAGAGCGGTTGTTAAAACTTGGTACTTTATTGAAAGTTGCTCTCCGACAAGCATGCCACAATTTTTATTCTCTTCTCAAAGGCTTTTTCATTGTAATCTTGATAGATTTGTCATTTCTTCAATCTATTCAATTTTTCAGTAAATTTTCAACTTCTTACTTGAATTTATTATCTATCAATGATGTTTGCGACTCTGACATGCTGACCCAGACTTGCTTTTTCTGTCTGTGTTGTCCAAATTTCTGGTTTAGTTGCAATTTCTGTCACCAGAAGCACTCCTCAGATTTTTTTTCTTATTTGTCTTCTATTTCCAGTTTAATAATAATATGATAATATAATAATATCTGCCTTTATTTTATCTTTTTCTTTTCCACAACAATAACAACTTCGGCTACCTCATGACAGACACTCCTACCATCCGAGGAAGTTCGATCTCCAGTTTTGGAATTTTAGGATCTTCCAGTTTTTGTTCACACCCAACAAGCCCCTCTTGATTCTTTTTTATTTAATTTTTCAGGTACGCAACAAAGTGATGCAACATTATTACCACCGCACAGCAGCAGTATAAAACAAGAGGAAACTGTAGAACCTGTTGCAGAGGTCAGTCTTACGGATGATTCGCCTGACGGAGCGTCGAGTCAAGCTAGTGGAAACTCAGAATGTCTTGAAGTCGTAGGGATAATGGATGAAGGCATTCAAAACGATTCATCCACAGATGACTCCCCATCAAATGTTTTGCGCCAACGACGGATTGCATTCTTTCAGAATCGCGGCTCCACTTTACTCGAGCCTACGAGTAGTAGCAATATCGATAACCAGAATAAAGAGCAAACTGAAAGCAGGGAAGGAACTCCTCAGGAAGTAGCAGCAGATAAGTATGTTGAAGATCAGACAGAGGATAATGCAAAGCAGGATGAACCACTAAATCAAAGTAGCTCAGGGAATAGTGAGAGGACAACCGAACAAGCACCCAGTGAATCACAAACGAGTCATAGCGGAACACAGCCAATCAGTGATGATTGTATTAAAATCAAACTCATGTACTTAAATGAAGAACAGAAGCTTGTTGATGGAAGGCGTCAGGAATTGTTAGGAGAATTCAAAAGGTATTTAATTTCATTCCTGTTTTCTTTTTCTTTTTTTTTGCCATTTTTGTCTCTTCTATCCTAACTCTTGCATGATGTCTACAGGTCTGGAAAGCCAGGCATTGTCAAGGAATTTCATCAGGTCAGGAAGTTTTATAGAAAAAAAAAAAACGGAAATTTTGAGAAAATGTCAGCTTGTCCACACAATCAAACTGAGTTTCAGCGCAGTCAGGGGCTAGCGCCCAGTGCTCTGACTCCTACTCTAATTATTGATGAAAAGAATCATTTCCAAATATGAATCACAATTTTAATCAATATCAAATTATTACCACCTGAGGAAAAAAGGTTCACATGATGAGTATCTTAGTATGAAGTGCCTGAAAGAAAAACAGGTTATTGCAAAAATTTAGGTAAATGAGGTGTCCTATTGGGAAGTACAAAAACTTCTGCCAAATGATTTGAAGCTCCTGAAATAAATTGTTTTATTATTAGAGCTGACATTTTTATAGTGATATTCTTCTCTTTTCGACAAATTTACGAAACTGCAACACAATTGAAATTAAAACAACTTAAGTCTCCCCCAAAACTACGCAAAATGAATTTATAATCTGGATATTTGTTGCTGTTTATGTTTTGTCTTTTATGAAAATTTAATTGTGCATTGGATTTTTTTAGGCGTCATTTCAGCACCGAGCTTTCAGCCAACAAGGTAGTCAAACTTATTTTCAATGGTCGACTCCTTTTAAAAGATGCTGAAACGCTGCAAAACTGCGGTCTTTATAATAATTGTGTCGTTCACTGTTTGATCCATGTCAACCGAAGTAGTCAGCAGTCAGCAACTAGCAATAACACATCAAACACTTCGTCCAATAATCACTCAACTAGGTATGTACTAGCGGTAATAGTAGAAAATGTTTGAAGTTGTTGGAATTTAAATTACTGAAGAAGTGCTATTTTCTGGACAATCACTCTATGGCTTTGGTTAATGTCCATGAAACTGGGGATGTTCATAAATCTTTCCGTGATGCGCAGTGATCCTCCAGTCTCATTTTTCTTTTTTTAAAACGATATCTACCAAGCTAGCCATATCGGCAGTTTTTTTATTGGTTGTGCAGGAGGAAAAAGGTCGCAGTGATTGCTGTTCCAAACTGCACGTTTCAATCATCCAGTTATGCAATTGAGGCTGTCTCTGGGCCCTACAAGAAATTAATTGCAGAGCACTAGTTAGGGAGGTTGGTGAAAGCTGGTCTCAAGCGTTCAATTCTCTCGTTTTGCCTGTTTGTTTTTTTTCACAGGAGAGATTTTGCCAGTTAACCCAGTACTTATGGACCGCATTCAATTACAGTTCATTTCCCTCCAAATTGCCCCTCATGTATCTGCTTGGATAAAACCCACCCCATTATTTTCATTTGTACTTTCTTTTATTTAATTTTAAAATTTACAGTATATTTAAAAGAAAAAAGCTTTCTGTTAAAAGACTCAACAATGACTTTTGAACAACATGATGCACAAAAGCAACTTATAAACATATTGGCTGAAGATATGTCCAAAAATGCCAAATAAAGAAGATTAAACCTAACAACTCAGAGAACGTAACTTCAAGGAGCAGAGGCTCAAAGCCTTATCTGTCAAACCCAAGACTCAAAATATTCGGAATAATTGCAACTAATCCTTTTGGAAACTAATGCGTAGTCATGTGTAATTTTAATCTTCGATGTTTTGGCTGTACTCAATAAAAACGGCTTTTCTACAATTTGCTGCTGTGCACAAAAATCTACTCCTATGAATGATCAAAAATGAATTTTTTTTCTTTTTTTTTTTCTTCATTCTATTTTATTAATACTTGATTGTGCTATAACCATCAATACCTTATAAGAGGTGAACTATGTACACGTCATGTGCACTCTAAAACTAATCTATGATCTACTATTTCTTTTCCCAGGTATACTAATCAACAGAACGGGCAGCAGTCTGAGTGGCGCTTAGGAAGTCTTTTGTATAGCTGTCTCCTCATAATACTTTCATTTTGTTGGTACTGCCAGTTCTCTTACTCACAACTGTTCACATTCACAACAACGGCAGCACTCACCGTTCTAACCCTCTTGTTTCTAATTTCGTTACTCCCTAATAATATTCCCTACCTGGAGTACTTGCACAACAACGAAGTTCATATCATGCACTAGTCAACCTGGTTTCGCATTTGCTCTCTGCTTTAGGTGCACAGCCATGCCTTGTTTTGTTTTGTTTTTTCTGTTCGTTGAAATGTTGCGGGAGTGTTTTGAGATTCTGTATAACAAAGGAATGTCGAGATAAAGTTAAAATTTTCCTCAGATGAAAGTGAAAGAGCTAAAAATCTTGAGAATCAGAAAACACCTAGAAAAGCAAGGGCGTGTTGTCAAAACCCTCTCCTTTTGCCCTCTGAATTTGGCAGAAGGGCTAAAGAATTAGTGAAAAGATGAACTTATCAATGAGCAGTAAATTTGAGTGTCTTGCACATTGTAGAACCAGAAACTTTTCTTGTATAGAGAAAAGTGTGAAAAATAGTCTTCAAGACTCGGTGACTGACAGTAGATCTACTCAATTGGGATATTAAAATTAACTTCTCCTTAAAAATTGCCAATTCAGCTGATTTTTTAAGAAATTTGTCTGAAATGTGAATACATGTAAGTTTTCAAATCAAGGGAAACAAAAACACACAAAGGTGTCATTTCTATGACCATACAATGTTACAAAACACATTAAAAAATGTGAATTTACAAGTGAACATTTTCCTGCACAGGTTTTTTTTTTTTTTCTTTTTTTTTCTAATTGATCTCAATTCATGCTATTTTTTTGCGCTTTCTCTGTATGTGCATCTTACATTTATTCATATTTTCAAGTCGCAAAGTTGTGGATTATTGTTTAATTCTTCTCTCTTTTCACTGTACAGTCGAATCGGTCATTCTCAGAAATACTCTAGCACCAGAAATGAAACTGCAAGAAAAACTGTATTCATCGCCCTGTTTTAAATCTTAGCATAAGTAATAGTGCGATTAATCAATTAAATGCTTCAATATTTTGGAGCTATGAGATTTGGAATGGGTCGATTTGAACAGTTATTTTGTTTTACTTTTTTTTGTTTTTTGTGCATTTGCATTTCTGACGCTGAAGTCTTTTGGAGAGCGATTGATTCAATTATTCCTTTTCTTTCTACCAAGAAAATGAATTAACAAGTAAATTCTGTTCTACAATGGACCAAAAGTGCTCCCTTCTAAGATTTACTGTATGGAATGGGGGAAAGATTATAAGCTGCATTCAGAATAAAAGAGTGCAGCATTTTCAGTAAGTTGTTGCCGCTAATGCAATATAAAATTCAGCGCCAGAAGAATCTCTGTAGTTTTTTAAGCAATTAGTCCTGCAACCGTACTCTCATTAATTTTTCACTCCTTTGCTTTTAGTGTATTCTATCCTCCTAACTTTTTTTTAATAATTCTCCATCTCTAATTCTGGCAAAGAAACATCATCTTGGCAGTTCCAATTTCTAAAGTCTTGATCAATAGCAGTGTTCATCAAAGGAACAATAGACAAGGTACAAATTTAAACTTTCTGATACATGCTTCCTTTTTAAAATGTCATGCCGGACACGATTCATGCAGCGAAAATTACTGAAATCAACTCCTAATCAAGATAACAACGTGTTTCTTTAGCTTTGGCTCGAAAAAATTCGAATTTCCTCAAGAAAAATCAGACTCTATCCCAATCATATTGCGCACTATGATGGCTTTGGCAAGTTTCTTAATTGAGCAGTGATACTTCCATGTCTTGTATTGTTCAAAGTCTGAAAAGTGTGAATCAAATGAGCTGAAGTGTCGAAAATGAGCTCGCCGTATTTTCATACTGCAGAGACTGTTTTGGTAACGTTCAGTGTGCAAGTCAACTCGAGTAAATCATTGTTTTTTTTCTTGAGCGGGAAGTTTGAATTTTTGCATGAAGAAACATCAATTGTGCTCTACAGGAAATTTTGATGAGAAAACGTATTCCATAATGATTACATTGGCACCTTGTCTAGTGATCCGTTGTTTTACTTTTCGATGAGGGCTCATTATTTTTATTTTGGTGCTGTATTTTCCAGAGCTGGGAATTCGCAGCTTTGTATCTTTTCCTTTGTATATTAATTTATCACATATCTTGTAAAACTTTCTGATCTTTCCTTTACCATCGTGTGTTTCCCTTTAGAGACTTATCTGCTGTACTTGTGAAGGAAATGTATTTATGATTAGAAATAATTAGAAAATAACCTCCAAGTTAGAACTAACTCAGGTTTTCTTTCTCTTCTTCTCGTTTTACATGTTACGTCCCCTATTTATTCTTTTTTTTTTTGGTATTGAAAGAGACTTAGTTAATAAAATAAGTCAAGGATGACCACAGTCAAGGAAAATTAGGACAAGCTGGTGAAAAAAAATGAGTCAGGGAAAAATTATGTTAGCGTAAGTGATAAATTTTTATGCCTCGCATCACGTAGTTTCAGCTTGTCTCCTCGTTGGATCGGAAAATATTAGAATTATTATTCCTATTTCTATGTTTTCTCAGAAGTCGGAAACTTTTCTCAAAGTCGGTTAAAGGAATTGTTAAAGAGACGAGGAATTCTAGTTTTAAATCTTTGTGGCCACCCTGATAATGACTGTAAAACTCCAAGGAAATATCAAATTAATTAAAATAGAGGTTCCAAGGTAATAAGAGAGTCATCTCTGCAACCTTGTATACACCATCATTGAAAAGTAGTCTCAGTTTTATCTTTAAACTGAAGAAAATGGATGGCTCTTAAGGTGAACTTTTAGAGAAACAACCTTTCAAAGGGTTTGTTATTTTTTGGGCTTGTTTCAGAAACATATTTTTTTACGTTAAACTTTTGTTCTACGTCTTTCCCTCAAGATCATATCCCCTCCTCCCTCTTAAAGTAAAGAGCAGTATCTGCGCATCAATACTATGATTGAATTACCAGTCATATAACCCTTTATGTTTCCTATGTGTAAACCCAGTTTCAGACGAACTGTCTCAAACGTCGAATCTTTCAAGTTATATCCTCTGTTGTCGTTCCCTAGATGAAGAAAGGTAATTCCATTCCAAGATTGCAAAATTTACAGAAACAGTTCAAATTTTTTACAAGAATATGCCTGTTCACATTCTGTCTTGACTTTTACTGATTTTTACGTTTAATTTGCCGAACAATCAGCCAAATTTTCAGTTTGAAATGTAGTTACGTTCTCTATCAGAGAAACGATGATAAGAGACGCTCTTTTCAAAAGAATTGGCTCCTTGTAATCAAGCTAGTTTATGGATTGAAGCTCTTTTTTTTTTCATGTTTATATCTGCTAGTGGCATAGCTCATTCTCATCCCTTGACTGGTCAGCTTAAAAATGACGTTTCTTTAAATTTTTTACATTGACCAGTAAGCTATTTTTTTAATATTTTTTGTTCTCTCAGCGTTACTTGAAACATGTGTTTTAAGTAATAAGCAGCCATCATGAAATGTAGAGGGTGTTGCTTTTTAGGTTGCTAACTATACAAGTATAAATAGTTGATAATTCTATTTATCTTCATATCAAAAATGGGAACATGAGTGAAATTAGAGCAACGTTGACCTTAATTCATTATTTCTGTTTTCTCACATCTGTGTAGGTGATATCAAGGGCTGTGATTTATCTATTGTTTCAGACTTTTGAGGTTTTTGTTTTTTGTCCTCATATGATTCGCAAGAAAAAATCATCTGTCCATTTCATACTTAAATATTTTTCTTATTTGCTGGGTGCGTAAAAAATGAATTCAACTCATATATTTAATGCTGTCAGCAATTTTTTTCAATGTAAGTACTTTCTTTGTTGAATTTAAGACATTTGTGCTTATTTCCTGTGACAGTGAATTTGGTCTATAAAAGTATTGATGATCAGGTATTCACCATTTGTGATTCGCGTTTCTCTATCACTACTTTGTTGTTTTTGATTCCATTAATCCAATACTTCAAAGTTTCTCTTCTGCATCAAGAGAACTTTCCAAGCAATTCTACCCAGTTTTGTTGGTCGCAGTGATCTCTTGCTAAAATGAACTATGAAAGGAAACTCTTGAATAACTCAATTGAAGTCAACGTTCCCTAGTTTATCTCTTGACACAGTGTGAAAAATGCATTTTTGTCGTGTTTGCATTCGTGTTCAGGATGCTGCCTTTGCTGTTGAAGAATCTTTTAATTTTTATCGAAGAATGGTGCCCTTAGCCCAAATTATTAGGTGCCAATTCTTCAGAAGCGATCAACCCACTTCTTCTCTCTCTGAATTTCTGTCTTGTCTTAACTTTCAATGTGTTAAGTAGTGTTAAGTATAACTATGTTTGAAGTGCCTCAACTTAAATTTCAAGGTGATTTGAAAATATGGAATCATTTTAAGTAAGCTTTTCGAAAGAACGGGTTTACCTGGAACAAAGTTACTGTTCAGAGCTGTTCTTCCCGCCCCTTTATTTATTCCTAAAAGTTTTCTTTGTCGAAAGATCAATTGAAAAAGAAATCAGTCCGTAGGACTTTAAGGGCAAGCCATTTTTGGCAAGGAATAGGTGAAAGCAGTAATAGGCAACTTAGATTGTTAATATCCTTGCTTTGTTAATACCCTCTGGATTATCAGAGTCATCTGTTACTCTATATTTCTACTCCTTTAATGGAACTGCATATCGATGGCTAAATTAGGAAGAAATGTACCTGGTATTTTGGTTTGCATTGTCATTGACTTCCCATCATATTTTATTCTTCAATTGGAAAATGAATGCAAGTAATTTCTTCTAAGCTTGTTAGATTTTTCTCTACCATTAGAAAAACTCAATTACAAGCATAAAAATAGGCATATTTCCCCTGGAAAATAACATGAGAGCAGGGATTGTAAACGCTGCAGTTGAGGTACGGGATTTCTGAGTTTAGCCATCAATATAATCACTTTTTTGTCTTTTCATCAGTTTTTTACGCTGAATTTCTATCCTCTCTCCAGTAGCTCATTTTCTAAGTGTCTGTCATATTCTGAAAGTCATAAAGCTTTAAATATATCATGGTTTGTCCACTATCACTTTTTGAAGGAACAGTTTGACTCTCTGTTTTAAGGCTACGCTGTTTTCACAAGTCAAATATTTGTATAGTTGAACATGTTTTGTTTTTAGTCATTGTATACAAGAAGCTTGAATCCACCTCTTTTTGTTCCTACGAGTGGATTTTGAGTTGTATGTTTTGCGAAACAGTTGTTTTATCATTCTATCTGTATCTGTGTATTATTATTTTTAGTCATCTTGAAATAAACATATTTGATTTAAATTGTCAGACTCTTTTTGCTTCACTAGTTGCCCCAAACATTAATCAAATGCATTGTTCAGAGAGAAGAAAATCCAGCCAGATTAACTTTGTAGGAAACATGAATTTTTAGTATTATTTCAATCAGTTAGGTATTGCGTCAATTCTAAAGTCTGTAGCAAATTTTTCAGTCCCCTTGAGTCGAATGAGAATTAATTCACCGGAAAGTAACATGAAAACAAGGCCTGTATTAACCATATAGGTGCAATAAGGACACATCCAGAGGCCCGCACCACAAACCCTCTCCCTCTTTCCTCTCGCATAAACTTATCACAGTTTTTAAAAATATAGTATTTCCCCTTGTTTCTCTCACTGGTATATGCCCCCTTGTTTCCTGAGGATTTTCAGTTAAGGCCAAGGGGGAATCTTCTCCTTTATTTTCATTCATGGTGTGTGCCAAAAAATGCTGTAAACAAAGTTTCATTGGAATAAAAATCTCCAAATTTGTTGTAAGGAGGCGTAGAGAAAAAAGAGGAGGTGTTTGCATTTCGGGCATCTTGGAATTTTTTTGATGACGTTGGTCGGTACAGCGACTTTTATCATCGATTTTCTTGAAAATGGTGATTTATGTAAAAAATTCATTCTATAAAAAGTGCTTGAAATTATATTATGAGTTGATTTAAGTAAAAGAATCGGACTTTATGCTCCGTTTTTCATATTTCGAATTCCGGATTTCGCTGGCTAGGTTGTACTGACCTACGTCACAGGGTAAACAAACCTCAAGATGCAAACACCTCCTTTTTTTCTCTATGAGAAGGAGGACCCTGTCCCTCTCATTAACGGAAGATATCACCACCAAACTCCCCTCTTTTTGGGACCTGTAGGACCTGTATAGCCGAGGGGCCCAGAGGAGAGAATAACTGGCGCAAAAGAACGCCTTCATACTGACAGGATACGATGGAAGCACACAATATTCCTGTAACAACAATTGCTGCACTCTATATTTCAGGCGAATTAAAAAATAAAAAAAAAAAATCTCTCGTACCGTTGATATCCCCCTTTCAACTTCAAGTCGGGCACTTGGTAACATAGGTAATATAATAATTGATTGGGGGAGTTTTTTTTATCCATTACATTTATTATTTTTTAACAACTTTTTGTTTAGGAATCTGTGAAGATTAAGTAAAAAAATCAGTGTAATTTTGTCGGTGTTGGTAAACGTGTCTTACGTCATTTTAGGCGCGTGTTTTGTTTTTTGCTTTATTTTGATTTTGAGGTTATAAACTTGTTTGGCGGTACCAGTTGTTTATTGATGCCTCCAATTGAAGTTCTTTCTTCGCCTCCGAAAGCTCTCAACTTTCAAAGTTCCTCTTATGAAGCTGTGAAATTCAATTACTGTAGTTTACCTCTCTATAATGTGCCTCGGTAAATTCTCCACTATAGTTCGTCAGTTGTGATGCCTAGATCCTAACCATTGCATATTGTTGACTTCTCCCAACCACAACCACTGTCTTTTCATTTACATTTTTGCCGATGTAATCCTGAAATTTCTCTCGAAAATTAAGTATTAATCTCATGATCATGAGTGATAATCCTGGTGTTAGTTTATTCCAAGGAAATGAAGAGTTGGAAATCGAAACAAATACACAGAGACTGGAGGAACAGGAAGCTCTTGAGGATGAGAGACGAAGGCAAGCTGAGGTGAGGATTTTTTTGCAATTCCATTCTCTCGATACAAAAGTATTATCCAAGCAATGTTTATTTTTCCATTGTGCAAGGTATCCACTATTTTAGTACCAAAGCACATTAACCCTGGATACTTTTTCAGGAACTGAAAGCTAGTTGTCATAGTCGTAAGTAAGTTGAATTATAATGGAGGCTCATACTCTATCCTCTATTCAAATCGGACAAAGCAATAGAGGGCAATCTATGAAGTAAGTGAACTCAGCAAGATGCCCTCTCCTGCAGTCAATGACTAAATGGGTCTCTCGAAAGACTGTGGACTCTCAATCAATTAGTGCTGATATCTTAAAGAAATTTTACTCAAAGCATTCATAATTAAGAGCCCTAAAATTAAGCCCAGTCTTAGCACCAATTTAGGAGAACGCCTCCATCAAAAGTTTGTTTCTCAAAGGCGTAAAACAGAGCAAAATGAAGTCTGGATAAGAAACTCTTAATGGTTCAAGCATCAATTTTCTGAGAAAAAATTATTTTTCCCTTCATGTAACTTTCATTTAATTACTTAGGAATCACTATTAATTTTATCCCGCGCCAGAGTGTCGAAAATCAGGCATTGCAAATCTGATTCCTGTGTCTCCTGCTTTAGTTGAAAATCATTAGCACTGGTGGTATTCTACCAGAGAGAGACAGGATACCTGGTACACCATCACATTCGTTGACGTAGAACCCAACGGATCATGATGTATTGAAACTAAGAATTTCAGAACTGCATGTACCTCTCCAAAAAGATCATTTCTTTTCTTCCCTACCTTTCTACTTCATCCAACAATACTTCTTTTGACAGATTGGAAATGCCATCGCCTCAGCATTTGAAGATCTGGAGGATGAAGATGATCTCAAAACAAGTGATAGTAGTTTTAGCAGTTCTCCTAATCAGTATGGTATGTATAGTTTCCAAATCTGAACTTATTCCAAGAAAACTTAATGATGAATGATCGTTTTATCAGTCCAATAATATTTTTTAATCCTTTTGTTTACCTATTCACTTACCGTTTGTCTGATCTACCTCTAGTTTTACGTTTCCATAAATTGATCCAACTTTGGATGGTGTATTTTTATGTTTTATCCTCTAGTGTACTGAGTGTGTACTGAGGAGTGTACTGAGGTGGGAAAGAAATACATTTTTTCAAATTTATCAATAAGGTGGGGAAAAAATACATTCTTTCAAATTGATGAATATGGTGGGTGAAAATACCATATTTCAAATTATTTATCATGCTATCATTTTTTCTTGTTCCTTTCTTCTTCTTTTTTTTCCATTCATAAAGTTTTTTTTTCTCTTTCCAGATCCTCCTCAGTATTATGAGCATTTGATGAATAACAATGTGAAAAAGAACACGCAAGACAACTCGGAACCAAGACCATACATGAATGGAGGGTATCACATCAAGGACCTCCAAGGTATTATCGATAACAGCCACCTGTACATAACTCAGCCTCCAGCAGAGCAGTATCAAAAAAAGCACGCTTTCGAAAATGGACACATTTCACCAGAGACATTCCAGCAGCCAGACCATACCAACACGCATCAAAATTTTTACAATCAAAACTATGGGGATGAAGGTGACTCTTCAACTTGACTTACTATACCTTTAAACTTGCATTTTGTTTTTAAATTTTATATAACATGCCTCTGGTCAGGGTCAGCAAATGTATCCACCACTTCCCCGGAATTCTGAGGCCTTTGAAGGACTGGAAATGAATGAGTCTGTAACCTCTTGTCTTTAACAGCAAAAGGCTATTATTTTACATCTGTTCTCTGGTCCTAATGTCCAGACTATTTTTTCATCCTCTTATTTTAAGTTCTAGGTACCTGAAGTAAAGTTTGCCACTTTGCTCATCACTCAATGATAATGTAAAAAACGTCAGTTTTTGCATCATATTTAAGTAGTGTGAGCAATTTTCAAAATAAAATATTGCATCTAATCAGTATGATTTTTCTCGATTATCAATGCCACTCAATTAACAGCAGAAATAAATTGATTTCCTCGATTAGTGAGACTTTGTTTCCTGCAAGGAAAGATATTGCAAGCACCATTTTCATTTAAGTTAAGTTTTTAATGATTCCAACCTATAGGTATCTTTACCTAATCACAAAAATAATGGATTTTTGTCAAGTAAAGATCATCCCAAAAATTATTGAAAATCATTATATTCTATAAAATTGTTGAAGATTTTGACTGATTCTTTTCCCTCTGTCAAGTTTAACATTAACACAAGTTCTAGTTTTCACAGCACTTAGTCATTTTTTTTTTTTTTTTTTTTTTTTAAATTCTAATGAAAGTATGAGTTGCCAAAATTGCAATTGAATAACCTCCCCAGTTGCCGCACATCAGTTTTTTGTGTCTGCCGTAAAGTTGATGCTTTGACACTAAAGATTTTCTATCTGGAAGAGGGAGGTGAAGGCACCCCAGTAAGCTTGAGTCATTCAAAGAAAACAGAAATTAAAGAAAAGAAGAAAATATATTTTAATGTCTAATATTAATTCATCAAAGAATCTTCTAACCTCAAGATTTGTACCTATTTATGTTTAAAAATCAATTTAATCATTCTTCATCTTCGGTTTTCTTTTTCTTTTTGAGTATAAACTTTTCTTGACTAATTGTACCAAATATTTTTTCCCCTGCCAAATGCTGCAAAAGGACTGAGGATGTTTCAAAACAATCCTCTTATATTATATCGTTAAGGTCAGTGTCACTCAGAGTTCTAAAGATCATCAGTTTTGGTTTACTTTATTAAGATTTTGTGAAACTGAATGGATGTCTCTTGGCTCTTGATAACTTTCTCTCAGGATATTGAAGAAAGAAGTATCTTTAGTCTTAATCAAACTAGACAGAAAGTCAATTTTAATTAAGACTTAGGAAATAGTGATTCATGTTCCAACCACTATTGTGGTAGATTCCCTTATAAATATCTGCTGCATTTTGAAGGATGAATAGTTTGATGAGCACATCGATGGCTAAAGTGTCTGTTCGGAATGTTGTAGCCTTTCTGTCTTACTTCTTTATTTCTTTGGAAAACTAGACTGTGTAATTTCTTAAAAACTTCCTTTTTTCCCTTCTTTGATAGCAAATTATAATGTGAATTTCAAGCCATTATGTTGGTTTGCCTCCTCTCAAAAAATAAAATGGAAGCGGCAATTTTAAAACACAGCAATGGAAATACATGGAACTGACCAACGAAATAGTGTTCCTGGCCATAGTGCGAATATCATGAAATTCTGAATGCTACAACTGATGTTGGTAATCACCTTCTTCAATCAGCCAGAAAGTAACAAATATCATGTAATTGACCTGTACTTGACCAAGTTTGCATTGATTGTTAACAGCTCTGTTTTGGAGTCATGATATACAAAAACACTAGTATTTTCATGAGGTTTAAGTTTTTGTTCATTTTATTCAAGATACTAAACTCATTAATTCATGTTACAGCTATCAATTCAAAACAACTGGAGGTTCTCTATGACATTAGGCTGAAAGAAATCGACCGTCTGGAAAATGAACTTAAATCTGTCAGACACGAGTTTGAGGCTGAGAAGAACAAACTTTTACGGAAAGCAACTTTAATGGAAGCTGAAAAAGAAAAGGCTGTGATCGCCAGGAATTCTGCTCAAGAATTGTTGGGTGAGTTCTGTTTTCTATTGCATTCGTGAAAAGCAGAAGCATTTAGAGCTGAAGTTGGCGTCTTGTGAGGATATTTTGTCTTTTCACGAACGACTAATGTTTTGGAGCTTGTTGTACCGTTGCAGGTGAGTATTAATCAAACGCTGGTTAATGATCCCACAACGTTGATGTAGGTCAATAAGGTAGTTCTTAACTATCAACATTATTCATTAAATTTCGGGCCGTCTGAGGACTATGACCCAGTTTGATATCAAAGTCTGCAAGAAAATGAGATTTGTCTCGGGGAAACAACAGCGAGTTCGAACAGTGTTTGACGAATTCGACTATAAACAGCCTAATCAGTAGTACCTGACTACATCAAATATGGTCTAATTTTCTCTGATGTTTCATTTTTTAAACAGTAAACTAAACAAAGCTGAAACTTGAAATTTTATGAGTATATTCTTCATAATCCACGGTTAATTCACAGAAAGTCCAAAATTGTTATTAGTTCTTTGTTGGTAAAATGAAACAAGAGAGAAAATTTGGCCATATGAAATGCAGTAAGGTTGATTCCAGTTAAATCCATTTAAGATGTCTGAATAATGCTTGTAATTTAGTAAGAGATCAAGAAGAGGGTATTTTGCTCTACTCTTGACTGATTGCATGATGAGACATAAAGAGTCAAGAACATCGACTCAGCACAGATAAACTATTTTCTTGAAGTATTCTCTCTATTTTTCTCAAAACTTAGTGCTTAATATTCAAGTCAGATTATGATTGAATTTACTTGCCCATTCATTACCAGACTAGATTCTGTGTGCGCACATATCTCAACAGAAATTTGTTTGTCATGCAGAAGAATCAGAGTGCATTTTAGAGGGCAGTGTCTGAAGCTGTAGTGCAGATCCTCTTTGACAGATAAAGCTACAAATGTGACCTACCTCTGAAAGAAGGTTGTGAAGTAATGAAAGAAGTGCTGTGGAAAGGGTACAATTTTGCTGAGCAGAGATGCTACGTTCTCGGTAATGGAAGGGTTAAATGTATGTTTGAAAAGTAAGAAACTACTGTTGAAGACTGAATCTTAGATAGTAACCTCTTTTCTTTTTATTTTTCAGTGGAAAGTAAGGAAAAAATCTCCAACTCTCAGAAAGAAATTGAATCTCTCAGGATAAGTTTAAAAAGTGCTGAACAGAGCAAAAAAGAGGTAAGATCTTTCTGAAATTATCAAATTGAGCCATCCATTGAGCCAGGGCATCGCATTTTGCAGAGATTTATTAAGATAGATTTGGATACAGACAATCAGGCTCTGTATGCTAACTTTGTACTGTTTTCAAGAATTAATATGTAAACACAGCATAAGAGAAAAATTAGAAGTAAAAGAAGTTGTTTTCAGTTGTATACTTGTCATCAAAAGACTTATGCAGTGCCTGATAAGAAACATGTATCGATGGTAAAACTGCAGAAATGCGCTCGGTTTGTGGTGTTGCAAACTTCATGCCACCCTTTATTTTCTGGGTGGAAAACTATCGAAGGTCATTTCTTGAAAACTTCGCTGACTTTTATTCTCTGTTTAATGAAAATTTTGAGCCGTAATGTTGGTTGGGTCCCCTTTAAGAAATTTAGTATGAGCTGAAATTTTGAAACACTGCAATCGAGATATGTATTTTTGCAGTTTCACTATCAATATTCTTAATAACATATAAATTAGTAAAATTGAAGGGCAGGTAACCAGACAACCAAGCCAAAAATTAGATGAGCGTTAAGTATTCTAGATAGTTTGATGTCTCAGCAGCAATAACCATTTTTTCCTCAATCAGAGCTATAATTTGTTCGGCAAGGAAAATAAACGAAAAAATGGAAAGAAAAAAAAGAACATGGGTCTGAATTTTATTTAATATGCTTCTGAGAATGTATCTATGGACCTTTATACATCATTTGTTCATTTTACAGTTAGCCAAAGAGCTTCAAAAGTCGATTTTAACCGTTGATGACCTTCAACGCAGATTAAAAGCCATGGAGTCTTTCAATAAGAATGATGTAAAGCAAACAGACGATATTGTGAAATCTCTCAAATCTAAGCACGAACATGAGCTAAGTGAGTTATCACGGAAGTATGAGTCAGTCAAACAGGAACTGGAAACAAAGGTAAGCTCTATTCATGGATTTTTGTCGAAAAGGGTGCAAATGGACCTTAAAATGAATAAATAAATGATGAAATTCATGGGTCAATACTTAGAACTGTACTCACAGCTGGTCCTTAATCAACATTTTTCCTTAAGGAGGCAACATCAGGTTAACATTGTGATGAAGTGAAATTTAAGGTGTCCTTAATCTAGTATCACCAAAGGACAATTTTTATGCACCTCAAGGGAAATTCAACAGTATGCCTAACTTCAGAAATAATTCCTCACAAGAGATTGAAAAACTTCAGCTGGTACCACTGGATTTTTTCTTTTGATTAAGCTGATTTTGGCTAAACTGTGGACAAAATCTCCACTTCTTAGGTTTTAAATTCAAGGAATCCGAAAGTTTGGAGTCAGGAAAAAGTATAAATGTAAAGAATAGTCAGGAAATCGGAAAATGAAGAAAATTAGGACACCCTGCTAGAAGTTTAGTAGAAAGGAAATTAGCCTCGGCGGCATTACATTACACTAAAGTAGTTAAATATAGCATATTTCTGCTCAGGAGGTTGTGAAGCATTCTTCACAACCTTCATGGGAGAAAATAATAAATTTATTTTAACTGTCCAGTTTTCAAAGGGTCTCCTTCTAAGCGCCAACAAAAAAATTCTAGAATCGCTGCAGATATCTACCTGAGCTCATGTCAAAGTTTTATCTCTGCTCTAAATTCTTTTTTATGTGCTTGGTTTTGTCAGAGGAAGGATGTTTCAAGGTTACAACGTACCATCGAAGAAATGGATAATAAACACACAAAAATGTTACTCGAGAAAACGGAAACTATCAATAAATTAAGTCAAAGTTTAGAGAAAAGCCAATCTCAGTGCCAGCAATTGATGACTTCCAGTATGTCTACAGACAGTGGTTACCTTCAAAAAATTCTCGACCAGACCAACAGAGAGAAAAGGGAACTCGAACAGAAAGTGCAGAATCTGAGCGTAAGTAAAGCTTGAATTTAGTTTTTTCAACTTTGAAACGATTTTCCTTGGAAGGATCAAAATTGAAGGCACTTAAATCAAATTTCATTGTAATTTTTGCCTTGAGGATATAACTGAAAGTTCAAAGTTTTTGTCGTACAAAAGAGGGAGGTTTAGTGTAATCTACCGCCCACAACAAAAACACTGTAATGTCATTCTAGATTTTTAATTTACCCTTCACACATACTGCTCTATTACACAAAAACTTGATCATTTTCATGCCTCATTTTTTCAAATTGAACTAAAGGTATGTCACCATCTCACCAAAATTATAAGTGATGAATATGTGTAGGTTTTCTTGCAGTAGAATGTTTTGTTGAGTCGAGTGATGTAGATTAGATTTACAGCGTTTTTGCTTTGAACAGCAGTAATGGTTTCTTGCTTATTTTCTCAGCAGCAAACCTCTGTTAAATTTTTTTCAGAACTTTTGAACTGTGATCTCCTAATCATTTACTGATTTTAGAAGGTATTGCAAGTCATTTGATGTTTTTTACTATGGATCGTATATTTTTTTCCAGTAAATATAGGAAGCAAACTTTGTTGGCTAATTCTTACAGAAAGACGTTCATATTTTGAAAATTCCGTGAAAAGTTTTTTTAATTTTTAGCCAAGAGAATTTATGAATTTGGCTCTCCTATTCCAAGAGCCTCCGATGAGACTTGGCTTGGATTTAACAATCCAGGATTGTAAGAGGTCTCGTCAGTATTTTTCACTTGATTAGCCAAAATCAATACAACCTGTCCGTAAGTAATATATATGGGCTCCAGCCAAAGTTCATTTCATGACCTTGCTTTTTTTTGTTTTGTTTTTTGATCACATTTATCTATTTATTTGAACAATTGTAGATGTCATCTATGTTTTTCAGAGTGAATGTGAGATGCTTCGCACAGATCTAGTAACATACGAAAATAGCATCAAATATGGTATTGTGCAATTTGACTTGTCCAAACAAGACAAAAATGACTCAATAGCATTACTGGGATTAGGTAGGTACATTAAATTTTTCTCATCAGAACTCATTCTGATTATTCTTAACCATGTCTGTGATGTCATGTTAATGTCCATAAGAGGTAATTACACAAGATGTTCCTAACATTTCCGGTTGCAATGTTTTTAAAGAACTCAAAAAGGAGGTCCTGTGGTTTTAAATAATTTACATGACGAGCACGAAATTTTCTTTTTAAGTCTGTCTGGTCGAAAAAGATTTTGTTTTCAACAGCTAAATTATTCGCTTCTGTGCTAAGGGCTTCTATCTCTCCTTTCTGAAACTCCTGCAGGGTGTTTACAGGCTTGAAAAACCGGGAATTGTTTAGGAATTACATCAGGTCATGGGAAAGTTGGGAAACCTCATGAGAAAGACAGGAAATTTGAAAAATTTTGATACATGAAATCTGGAAAAAACCTGATAAAGTCAGGGTTTTTCCTGCTTAGGCTTTCGACACCCTGACCCTATATGAGAAGGAAAAGTTTTATTATTTTTCTAAAACTATTTCTGTGTCAATTTTTTATTGTCGTGACCTGTTCCATCTCTATCGCAATCAAAAATACAAATAAACTAAGAAAAAAACACTCGCCATTATTAAAAACACGCCAAATTCAGTCCAATACAACAAACTAGAGGGGAAAAATCAAGTCAAAGAGGAACAGATGTCACCATTTAGCTTTTAATGACGAATAAGTTTTGCTGTACAAATACATCCCATACGTAATGTGAATTTCTAACACAAAAAAACTGCAGGATTTTATTTTTTTCTTCAACAGGCGAAAACAGTTATATCGACACCTCAAATGAATCGAATCGTGGTTTTAAAGACGGCTCAAAAGTCGGTGACGATAGTCCGATAACCAGACTGCGAGGTGAATTACATCGATCAATGATTGCAAATAAAGCAAAACGTAATAAAATCACTCAGCTAGAAACGAAACTGCGTGCAGCAGAAGGTCAGATTGAAAATCTGAAGCAGGAAGAGGCTAAATATTCCACACAGAACAAAAACCTTCTGGTATGTAATTTCCGGTACTTTAACATGTGTTCGCTACAAGCATATTCCCAATCCATTTAAGTCGAGTGCAATTTTTACATCGGACTAATCCTTTTTATTCTTTGAATAATTCTGTTATGAGAGTATAAGATTTCTGAAATGAACTCTCCCTCCTCCTTATTCTATAATTCCTAAACGCTGGTTGCTAAGGAAACCACACTGTAAACAAATCTAATTTCAACCCTCTGTTTTCCTTGATCTTTTAATATCAAAGATTTGAAAAAACATTCAACTGCAAGGACATTTTCTACATTCGGATAGAAAGTACTCAAAAATAAATAATCACACTTCTTTTTTTGGAAAGTTGTTGAAACAAAATTGCCAAAGAAAATTTTGCGGACTTTCCATGTTTTTCCAGTTATCAACTCCTCATTTTCTATGATTAAAAATGGACATTGATATTTATTTATTTTTACAGTATTTTAAAAATTATTCAAGAGTATAAACGATTATCAAGTGATTATTTAAATGAGTATTTTGATTAAATTTTATCTTCTTTCCAAATCTTCTAACACTTAAAACAGTTTCAGAAAGTGTTTTGATGATAATCTAAGCAAACTTTTGTCACTTTTAGTTCACTATTATAGATTCTTTCCCTTTTGTGTAATGTGTGTGGTTTTTCCTATTGTAGGAAAACATTCATAAATTGACGGAGCATATTAATGCGAAGGAAAAAGAATGGCAAGAAAAAGAAGATCAAAGCGAGAGAATATTGCTGTACGAGAAGCAGCTACGAGAGAAAGAGGCTAAAATCGAGCAGCTGAAAGAAGAAATCAAGAGTGTCCGCCTCGATTTAGAGATGAAGAGCATGGAAGTAGAGACGCAGAAAAGTAAAATTAGCAACGATCAGTTTATGCTCCGAGAAGATGCAGTCGCTAGGATCAAAAGAGATGTCTCGTATGAGAAAGAGAAGATAATTAAACAACTAGAGTAAGTGGAATTATGTCATACTTTAAAATTGGTCTCATAGTAGCAGCGGGCTGTTTATTGAATTTTATAGACAAAGCCATCTACAAATAAGACAAAAGGGATATGGATGATCCTATTGGTGGAATCGGGTGGTTGCATTGAACAAAGGAGGTAGTTCATAGACTAACTAACAGCAACCCTATAGTTCTAGGGCTGTCCTCGAAACGATATTTTGCTCGTCGGTTCGTACGAAACGATATTTCGCTCGTTGGTTCGTACAAAACGATATTGCGCTCGTTGGTTCGTACGAAACGATTTTTTGCTCGTTGGTTTGTACGAAACGATTTTTTGCTCGTTGGTTTGTACGAAACGATTTTTCGCTCGTTGGTTTGTATGAAGCGATCAAAAAATCGGTTTGAAAGCCTATTTCGTTTCGAATCCCGTCTCGATCAAAATCTGTTTCGATCAGAATCAGTTACGGTTATTTCGATTAGAGCACTCTCATGAGGATTCCCGTGGGAGTTTCATGCACCGCTGATAAAAGCTCTAAAACGCTACCCGAAGGAAGTTCACGAGATGAGAGGATCCCTGGCTTTCTGGCTTACATCTTTCCAGTTTAAAAATGTTGGAAGAAATAAGACAGAGTTCAACATATTTTTACGCTGTAATTACAGACCTACTTACTTTTAGAGCCAAAGAGAGTCGTATCGAAGGTATAACCCTATCTGGAAGTTGTCCGATTGAAATGTACATTGACATACTTTGAGATTTATAAAAATTTGATCCATGTATTCAAATGGAGTAGTCGGCTTCCTGAATGATTAATGAAACCAAGATCAATTTAAACCTTGGTAAATTAATTAATTAAATGAAATCATGATTCAGTTAAGTTTAACAGTGATTCAATGATTAATTAAATTAACCGTTGATTTTAAAGAAACCATGATTAAATTAAATCCACCTATCTACTTTACCATAGCCATTCATTCTCCTTACAAACTCTTTTGTTTCAGACTTCAGCTAGATCAACTCAGAACGGAATTAGATGAAGTGAAAGAGCTTTATACAATTGCATGCGCGGATAAGAAACTCTTGCAGGAAGAGAAGCTGAATTATTTGAAGCAAGTCAGTGATATTTCAGCGGAGAGAGAAGCCCTCTCCAAAAAGCTTGATCTAATCAACAAGGGTAATAATTCAGATTTAACTCTTTCTCTTTTTTTCCTGCTCCGATGTGAATTGAGAAAAAAACAAATAAATAGGTATCTAAATGGATCATTATGAAGTCTGATGGTTGAGTGACTCCTACTTCTTCAAAGAACCCCGCACAATCCTTATGGGAAATGGCTCTCTCTACAATCTGATGAAACTCGGATATATTGCTCAGCTAGTCATTCTGATCAAAAGTTCTCATTAGCCGAAAGAGATCCCAAGAGCGGTTTTCGGGATATTCGCTGTATGTGCGTAAATTAAGGTTTTGCTGGCCAGACCATTGTGCAGCGCTTCTTGTGCCCTTCCCTTCCAGTCCACTCCAGCCGCTCTCTGCTTCCCCGCCACCCATACCCGAGGCTTGGACTCCGATGCTCACGAGGCTTTGCTCATTGTTGCTGAGCCGGGTGGTCTTATCACCGTGAGAGTCGGAGTCCGAGCCTTGGGTATGGGTGGCGGGGAAGCGGAAAGCGACCGATTTGGGGCGTTATTCCAGCCCCAAATCTTTCATCAGCGTAGAGTGTACTATCCTATTTTGCACTTAGTAATATGAGTCAATATCTCTTAACATTTTTCTCTAATTTGCAAAGGACAAGTATTTTTCAAGGTATCTTCTAGAACAAGAGATCCAAATGAGCAAAAGTCCACATTCTTTTGGCATCCAGTTATTTTCCTTAAGAGCAGAATATTCACTCATTTTCAAAGCGATCTCTTAAAAGTCTCTTGGCTAATGCATTGTTTTTTATTTTATTTGCAGAAAAACAGCGACTTCTCCAGCAGGTGGAAGATCTGATGACTGCCAAAATTAACTTGTCAAAACGAATTGAATCACTTGACCATGGTAAGTTACCATTTGTTTTTTTATTTTTTGTGAATATAATTCATAGGCATTTTTACATACTATCAGTGTCAACCAAGCACACTCTCAGAGTCCGGTGAGTGTCTGTATTTTGAAAAGGAAGAAATGAAGCAGCAGAGAGAGAGAGAGAAAGACTAACAATATTTTGATGGCTAAATTTAAAAAAAAAAAAACGTGCATCTCTGATTACACTGTTGTAATTTGCTTCTCAAGTTTTACTTCTATTAAAAAAAGAAGAAAAAGAAGAAAAAGAGAACCAACAGTTTTTATTGAATGTTTCCGTGAATATTCCTTTCTCATTCACAAAAAAATCACACAACATTGCACGAAAGCATTTTGAATAACTTTCCCCAAAGAAAATTTAATATGATCAGAGATTTTCAAGCATTTCAATTAAGGTACGCATTAGTACATTTGATTATAAAATCACTTTCTCCTGGCGAAAGCTGAGAAAATCCAACTTGCAGAAAATCTAAAAATTTGATCAAGTTATACTTACTATAAGACTAGCAAAAAGAGTGAACATTTGTTCCAAGTGTCAAATTTGTTCGTTGCAAATTAAAGGAAATTTACACCAAAAATCATGTCTAATATCTAAAAACATACATTTAGCTGAAATATAAGAAAAATTGATCTTGTTTGCCCCCTATATAATTGTAATGAAGTTTTTAAAATTTACTTACAAGGTTTTGGCTTTATATCTAACATGCTAATCGCCGCACTGGTTACATTGACTGATATTGAAGGTGAGCGGCACGCTAGTAATTCCCACTAGAATTCTGCGATCCTGGGAGCCGTGCATATCCTAATAGCTCACGGCTGGAATAGCCCTAGCTGAAGGCTGGAGAATGCAACACTGATCTTCTGTTTTTCAGGCAGGGAAAAAACGCCATGATGCCAGGAGAAATATGTACCCAAAACACCGAGGCAGACAACGTTTTATAGATTAAAATCAATGAGCCTCCATGTTAAAGGTGTAAAATTCATAAGAAACTTTTTCAGGTGCTGATTCAAAACTGAAAGAGAGACTTCAAGAAATGGAAAAAACTCATCAAAAGGCACTGCAGGAGGTGAGAGAGCAAGTAAAAGAGCAGACGATAAGTTATTTTGCTGGGAAAATGGAGCAGCTGGAAGATAGTTACAGGGCACGACACTCTCAGATTGTTATGGCTCAGAAGAAGTTGGAGGTCCAATTGGAACAGAGGCTAAGAGAGGTGAGCGAGAAATTTATTTATATATTTTTAAATAATTTGATATGCAATAAATAATGTACTTATTTATTCAGGAAATATTCCGGCCGAGTTAATTAAATGTGGGACTGGAAAGTTGGTTAACCATCTCAGGGATTTGCTGCAGAAGTGCATTGACGGTAATGACATCCCGAAAGAATGGAAAGAGGCCTGGATAACAGCGTCGCATAAAAAAGGAAGGAAGGATGACTGTGGGAACTACAGAGGGTTAGCGGTGACAGGAACGATAAGTAAAATTTATGGAAAAGTGTTGAAAGCGAAGATCGAAGAGGAGTGGACCCCGTTCGAGGCGGAGGAGCAAGCAGGTTTTAGGGCTGGTCGGTCTACCGCTGATCATCTGTTCTGTGTTACCCAGTTAACCGAAAAGAAGAGAATTGTTGGCCAGGAGCTTCATTTAGTGTTTTTGGATATTGAAAAGGCTTATGATAGTATTCCTCTTGTGAAACTCTGGGAAGTCCTAGAAGAAACTGGTTTTAGTAAAGGACTTATTGGGGCAGTCAAGCAGTTTTATCGGGGGGCTTTTGCTAGAATTAAGTGCCAAGGAAGGCTTTCAGACGGTTTTTTTGTCACCAAGGGGCTTAAGCAGGGATGTTGTCTGTCACCGACGCTGTTTAAGATATATCTAGAGCACGTTCTGAAGTAATGGAAAAGAAAGTGTGCCGGCATGGGCGTCCCGCTAAATGACCAAGAAACACTGTTCACGCTATGCTTTGCTGACGACCAGGTAGTCATAAGTCAAGATCACGATGACGCGGAGTATATGACCCGGAAGTTGGTGGAGGAGTACCGCAAATGGGGCCTCGAGGTTAGTGTCCGTAAGACAAAAAAGATGTCAGTCGGAGGTGCTCAGCAAAGCATAGTCCTGGAGGATGGTCAACATATAGAAAGTTGCGAACAATACAAGTACCTGGGGGTGAACCTGACTTCGGATGGGAAGCTGGATCAGGCCATTCGGGACCGTAATCTTCTAGGAAGGAAAGCCATCGCCATGCTTAATGGGATCCTTTGGGACCAAAGGATTTCCAAAGACAACAAGAAGAGGATTTATAACTCGGTTGTCAAGCCTATTATCACCTATGGCAGTGAAGTGTGGCAGTTGAAGAAGCGGACCCAAGAAATGCTCAAGGCGACCGAGATGGATTTCTGGCGAAGATCGGCTGGAATCTCGAGGAGAGAACGTGTCAGGAATGAACGTGTCCGAGAGATAATGGGCGTTGAGGGGACGATTGTGCACGATATCATGACCAAGCAATTGGTATGGTATGGGCATGTGCAGAGAATGGCTGATACCAGGTTGCCGAAGAAGGTGTTGGAGTGGGTCCCCCCAGGTAGGCGACGGAGAGGGCGTCCAGCCAAACGGTGGGTAGAGGGCATCCATGAAGAGATGGAGAGATGCCACCTTCCGGAGGATCTCTACCATGACAGATTCCTGTGGAGAATAGGCGTCGCAGAGCGCCCTAGCGCGCCGTAAAAGCGGCTCATACATACATACACATACTTATTTATTATACTTTAGTACATCAAGTGAATTTTACAGGCTAAAGGTGCGGCGTCCAGATTACTAGCTTATTGTACCAGCTGATTTTTTTCCCATCCATCGTTATAATTCTAAGAATGATAATATCGAAATCTTGCTAAATATTTCTGAGAGTAAAATTAATTATTTAGCAATTCAGTCAATGAATGCTCTTCTGTCATAAATAGCAAGCTGGATTCATGAGCCCAACACCAGCAAACAGACATTGGCAAACTGAAGGGGCCCTTACAAACCTCAGGCTAAAAATTCTTTTGACTCATATTTTTCAAAGAAGTTGGCCCTTTTTGCATGTATGACGCAGGTGAAAATTTTTGGGACGCAACAAGTTCATGGACTCTGTCTTTTACTCAGTTTTAATTGAGATATGATAAGTTTCGCGAGCTCACTCAGTTGAAATACATTTGACCATGAAGTAAGCTAGAAATTTTCATTGTGTTTACTTCCAGATTGAGGAGTTGAAGAAAGAAGTCAACGAAAGTAAAAAAGAAAAGGAGATGGTCGAAAAAGTGTTAAAGAAACGGGTTGATGAGTTGAGTGAGCAGATTGAGGCTGAACGAGAAAAAGCTGCCGAGTTCCTGTCAACATGGACTAGAGAAGTAAGTAATTTCCCAATTCTTAATAATCTTCCTAGCTGAAAATGATGCAGGATAACGTCAAGAGTCATGTCTGTCCACTTTATGTGTATTTTTAAATTGACAAACAATATTATAGCTCATGTAGATTTCAAATACGAGGGGCGTTCAATAAGTAAGTATCCCCCCTCTCTAAAATCCATAAGAATGGACCAATATTAAAAAACTTGGGCTCAAAATCTTCCTTAGGATATTTTGAGTTCAACAAAACAAACCGCAACAAAATCGGACTATGTGCGGCCGAACGCGAGCCGTTTGAACGCGCCGAGGCGCTCGACGCTCCCGCCGAATCTGCGAGGATTTGAAGTCCGCTACAGGAGAAGAGCTTCTCTGCCAAAGCCTCAGTCGTTCATCACTGACGAAAAATCAAAGAAATTTTTGTAGAATAAGGGGCTTACCTCACTTCTCCACATAACCAGCTCGATCCAAGCAAGTCTGATACTGAGACTAAGACTAAGAGAACAGCTTTTGGATGCCTCGTGCGTGGAAGTCTTTCAGCTGACCGCGGATGAAAGAGTGGACGGCTTGTTTGACCTCTTCCACTGATTCAAAATTAACTCCTCCGAGTTCAGATTTCAGATACGATAATAAATGGCAAACCAGACCACCATTTATTCCCGTTCCTGAAATCTGAACTTGGAGGAGTTAATTTTGAATCAGTGGAAGAGGTCAAACAAGCCGTCCACTCTTTCATCCGCGGTCAGCTGAAAGACTTCCACGCACGAGGCATCCAAAAGCTGTTCTCTTAGTCTTAGTCTCAGTATCAGACTTGCTTGGATCGAGCTGGTTATGTGGAGAAGTGAGGTAAGCCCCTTATTCTACAAAAATTTCTTTGATTTTTCGTCAGTGATGAACGACTGAGGCTTTGGCAGAGAAGCTCTTCTCCTGTAGCGGACTTCAAATCCTCGCAGATTCGGCGGGAGCGTCGAGCACCTCGGCGCGTTCAAACGGCTCGCGTTCGGCCGCACATAGTCCGATTTTGTTGCGGTTTGTTTTGTTGAACTCAAAATATCCTAAGGAAGATTTTGAGCCCAAGTTTTTTAATATTGGTCCATTCTTATGGATTTTAGAGAGGGGGGATACTTACTTATTGAACGCCCCTCGTAATTCATGATTACTGCTTCATTTTCCAGCTAGCTGGAATGAACTAAGAACTTTTCTATAAAAAAATTTTTCTTACTTTATTCTGGTGGTTGGATTATGCGGGGAACACTGTATGAAATTCGATGGATAATAAGTAAAATTGAAAAATCCCATTTTCCATAAACTTTTCAGGCTGTGGAATTAGATTTTCCAAAAAGAGCAGCTCTAGGAAACCCCCAACATGTTTGGTTTTTTTCCAACTTCCAACCTTCCTCTTGTTATTTTCAAAGATTCATTATTTTTTGAGAATTGCATTTCGATTATTTTTACTTACATGCTTTTTCCTTTAGAAATTTTGCCTAGATATCAACTCAGTCAATGGCAAAATAACTTCAATTTCAACTTTTCCTTGAGTAAATCGACAATGAAACTGCAGATCTGCGTATCTCGATTGTGGTGTTTCAAAATCTCCGCTCCTACTTTATTTTTTCAAAGAAAACTGGACCAACTTCATGACTTGAAATTCCTTCGAATATTCTTCACAAATAGAAGAAAAATCACCAAGGTTCTTAGAAATGAAGTTGTGTGGTTTTTCATTCCAAGAATGAAGTATGCTAGAAAGTCAGCAATGTCGCAAATGGAGGTACGCGTCTGTGCAGTTTCACCATTGAAAGTATTCAAAGTTCTCAAGATTAGGATTGCCCCAAAGATAATCTTATTTCTCATTTTGGCGGGCCTCCTGATCCCTATGTTTCATACCTGCACTTTTTCTCTAATCTTCATTGTTTTCTTTCTATAAGGTCAGTGATATGCAAGCGGAAACATCAGAATTCAAGCAAGAGCTAGAAAAACTGAGACCGAAGTATCACAACCTGAAGAAAGCAGTGCATGTTTATAAAACGCGGGCTGAATATTTTGAAAAGAAAGCAAAAGAAGACCACGACAAGCTAAAGAAATCCTCCGAGCTTATTGAGCAAAAATACAAAGCTATGATCAACAAAAAAGAACTAGAGATCGAAGAAAAACTTCACCAGCTAGAAGAAGTGTACCAAGAAGCTGTTGGAACTCCTCCCTTAACAAGAACACGGATATCAGCAGGAGATAACGTTGTAACGAACGATGGTTGAAATCGAATTGATTGATTCCTTCAAAAATTGTTATATTTTTAAGTTAACTAAACTTTATTGAATTTTACTGGCACAGGAAGTCCTCACCAGGGTTGCCACGGTCAGAATTATCCGGGAAAGTCAGGTTTGGAAATGTCAATGTAAACTGGGGAACATCAGTGAAAAAAACAGGAGTGGCTAGGAAAAATGGTTAAATCCCTATTTTTTGCTTTCTAGGATGTGTTTGGTGTCTGAACAGCAAATTTTGCATGTTTGCGTATGGAAACAAGGAATTGTAACCATTCCAAATACTTTTAAATGTCAGAGAATTTCTTTTTTCAATTTCTGTGGCAACCCTTGAGTAGGAAGAGTTATGAATTTTGGAAAATTTCATTTTCCATCATCAGAGTCTGAAAATTTGAGACCATTCAAGAAAATGAAGAATTTTAAGGAGGGATTTGAAGACTGATGCTTTCGGAATGTAGATCAGACAATGTCATACTGACATTGCTGCATTTTTTCTATCCATTTCCAGTGCATATTTCGAAGAGGCTCCTCAAATAAGATTGAATGCAGCCCTTAGTTGCCAATCACCCTGCCTCAATGCCTGAATGTAAAAAATATGTTTATCAATCACAACGTTTGAAAGCTCCCATTTTTTTTATTTTCCTTAAGGGAAACTAATCAAAATGTTTCCTCACAATTCTATGTGATTTTTTTAGAATGAGTGAAGAAAATTCACGAATTATTTCAACAGAAACTGTTTGGTTAATTTTCCTTTTAAAAAATAAAACACAAGCGAAGGCTTATGTCGCAATCTGAGGTATGCATTTTTCAGCTATCAGTATCTTTTTCTATTGGGTTTTTCCAATTCAGAGAAAGTACAGAGGTGATGCAAAACTTCCACTCATAGGCCTAACTAAAAACTCATAAATAGTGGAACAAGTATTGTGTAGTTGTGAAGCTAGCATATCGACAAAAGATCATTATATAATTTGCATTGTTTGATGGTAAAGCAATGACATTTTTCCCATTTTTCTCACATAAATTGTTCAGTCCATATCTAATAGTTTAGAAGCATATCGACAAAAGATCATTTTATAATTTGCATCGTTTGATGTTAAAGCAATGACATTTTTGCCATTTTTCTCACATAAATTGTTCAGTCCATATCTGATAGTTTAGAAAACATTGAAATGTAAAGGAACTTTTGAATTTTTATTTTTGTAACTCCAGACATTTTAGAGTTTCTTAAGAATATTGAAGAACTTTCTCTCAGATCAAATGTTATTAAATTAATTCTTGCTATCGGAATAAAAATTAAGTTCTGAAGAAAAAAATTGATTCTGAATAATTAAATGCAAGAGTCTGACCTTGTAATTAGCAGATCAAATAAAAAAAAGCTCATTTACATACAAATGAAGCGTAAACTATCCTGACATTCATTAAAATATTCCAGAAATTGTTTCTTTTCTTTTGTTGCATTTGTGATTTTATTGTTTTTTTATCTTTTTCTTCCGCTTTTATTAAGTTCATTCCAGTATTTTTGTTTTATAGGCTTATATGTGTATACTTTGTATAGTGATGTTATCTTTTTTAGTGCCTAATATTATAGTACAAAATTCAATGAACCTAAAGTGAAGACAGCCAATGTTGATAGTAGAGCTACAATTGAATCTCACTATGATCGAGTTCAACAGAATCGCATTAAGTCGCATCAAGTTTGAACCAAGGAAAGGTCTGAAGTTTTGTTCCACAATAAGATGGAATGTTAACTAAGGTTAACGACTATCCACGTGTTCAAACATTTTTGACGGGGGAAAATTTATGTCTAGCTGAATTCCAAATCACTCCAAAATGCGACTGGATGTGTTTTTGTTGAACTTCATCTATTTCAACCTCTGTAAACTCGCATGAATGTTACAGCTGCGCTTTCATAGCTTTAATTGTAAAAAAAAAAAAAAACAAAAAACAAAACATAGATCTCTCTCTTGGACTTTACACCATAATTTTCAATTTTTAATTACCTTTTTTGGTTATTTTAATATTCTTTGGAAAAAAGAGAGAAAAACATTATTGATTGTTTAAAATTTTACCAGTGATGATGCATCTCTTTTCATAGTATTAACAAATAGATTCCTGTACATTTAAAAGTTTGTATGACATCTCATGTGCTTTAAAAGAAAATATGAGAATGATATGTGATTAATTGCAAAATAGTTAATACTGGTAGGGATTACTATGTAGTAATATTGTTTTCAGTCAACGCAGTTTTCCGGACCTTCTTTCTATTATTGGTTAAAATATTGATTGTACTTAAAAACTAGTGAAAAAATACAACTGACTTTTAAGAAAATTGAAAGTTTGCAACAATCATACTATAGGTAATCATAAGAAGTGAAACTTCAGTGATCATGGTATTGAAAAATGACTGTTGATGTTCCCTAAAATAAATAATCTATTCTGATGCAAATCGACACTGAATTTAAGCTGATAGTTACATAATTTTCTTTGTGGAATCGCAAGTTTCTATTATTAGCAGACAATGAAGTATAATCCTCTGCATTCATTTTCCAAATTTATTACCTGTAGCGAATTCAACAAACCATCTCAAACCGATTGTGTATTAAAAACTATCAACCTTAGCTATTATTCATGAGGGACTCGATATAAATAAAAAATTTAATGGCACATGGTGCCATTCTAAAGAAGACAATTAACGCCGCATGAGTTTTTAGATGTTGCCAAATTTCCCTTGATAAAATACCAATTTCTTACTTCTACTTACTTTTTATTTATTTATTTATCAATTTCTATTTTTCAGACGATTTTCTGTACAATTTAATAAAAAGGACTTAAAATTTTCACGGAAAAATATTCATAAATTTCCTTGAAACTCAGTATTTTATCTCGAGAAATCTGGCAACCGCCGACTGTTCAAACAGCGTTTTTCCATAGTGCAGCAGCATGGATAGCGTGAGAATGGGCCTAGAAGGGGTCCTAGCCTGTCCATTTTGTCAAAACGCAAGGGACTGAAAAGGCTAATTTTTATACTTTTTTCAATTTTAGCCCTCTCATTCTTGGATGTAAGAGCTAAAGCGTCAAGTTTTAAATTTCAGATCTCCTGCATTGCCCTTGTAAAGGTATTTACAATGTCTTCCCCACATCATTCGGACTAAGTTCATGTCACGATTCATTTTTTAGGATCTGTGTCTCTATGCAGACTGACATGTGCGTTTACGAATGAAAATTCTAATTAAACCAAAATCATGGCAATAGTAAATGAAGTAAAGCTAGCCAGAGAGGCTTACTTGCGGTTACCAAATTTCATCTAGCAATATACTTGAATGACTATTTTGTCTCATGTGCATGTTTTGTATATTTTGAAAATTTCAGGGAATTTTCACTAAACCAACTTAAATTTCCAAACAATATTGATAGACATCTTTCCATTCTAAGTAATTTTTGGATGAAATTTTGTTGCAATGTTGCGATGCAATTAAGTCTCTTAAGCTCCTATCCTCTTCAATGATCATTACTGTTCAAAGTGTTAAAAAAGTTTCTGCATTGCCCATGACTCCGAAAATTTACATTCCCCGATTACAAAACTGAATGATCCGTTTCATCCAAGTTTCATCATAAGATTTTTTGGTATCAGAATGTATTGTCTGTAAGCAATGCTAAGGCATGGGCAGAGTGACAACTGTCCACAGCTGAAAATTTCATGTAAATTAGGTACCTTATTAATTGTAAATGATGGTAAATTAGCTTGTTGTTTTTTTCTATTTTTTCAAATTATTTTTCCTACCTCTAAAAAAATATGTACAAGAATAAAAAAAAAGTTAAATTTGATTTCTTAATGTGTCTTTCTTGTCTGTACCACTTACCTTATTTTTTTCTTGTGATCACTGTAAGTGTGTATATTTGTGATCAATTTTTAATCGGTCGTATACCAATCTAATTTCAAGAGAAATAAGACAATATCAATGGTAAAACTGCTGTAATGCGTATCTCCATTTGGGACTTGCAGACTGCCTATCATACTTTATTATTTGGGTGTTAAAATATTCATCGTTATCCCTTTAGAAGTTCCTTAAAATTTCCTCTCCTGGTGAAGGAAATTCTATGAAAATTTCAAACAACAGCCTTGATCCGTTCTCCTCGGTTAAAATAAAATGGTAGTAGAGATTTTGAAACACCTCAAAGGAGATCTGCTTTCCTGCAGTTTGACTGTTGACATGTAATGACGTAATTTCTGCGGAGATGGGGTAGCATTGATGAAAATGTTTTGTACCAGAGCATTATTTTTGAAAGGTTTCACCCCACAAAACCTAGACCTTTTTTTTCTAAAAAAAAAAAAGTAATCGTTACTATGTTGATTGGTACCGTCTCATTAAAGTTCATAAAACTACCGCTTTTGAGTTTCATCAATATTGACGTTTATCTCTGCGGCAGCTACTCTATTTCCCTTGCGTATTCTTCAATTCATTGAGGAAGATAGGGAATGATTCTAAGCTTCTTCAGACATTTAAATTCCCCTAAATGCCTGCAGTCTATCATCTTTCTTAAAATGGTCATTTAGGAATTAATGCCTTCGCTATCGTCCGCTCATAAACTGAGACTTAAAGAACAAAAAAAAATGGAAGGAACCTCCTATAATACTCCAAATTATTTAGGCGACTCTATACTGTAAAGATCAAGTACGTTCAAATTGAAGTAATAGGATGTTTGAAAAGCGCGGCACTTCTGTGTTATCCAAGTTTGCACTTTCGTCGACTTTCACATCACCAACCTCACTCTACAATTTGTTTGTTTATCTCTTTCTTAGGAATCAGTTCTGTTTTGTAATGAATTTTCGACACACCAATTTGTCATTGAGTAAATACAATTCATAAAATTAGTATGCCACCTACGTTGAACATGAAGATTAACTAATGAGTCACTTCTTGCAGCATCTCGTCATTGCCTGGTGCATTCTCAAGTTTCCAGGTTGGCAATGTATTATCAAGAGGATGGGAAGGAAACGGGAGTTGTCAGGTGAAAATTGAAATCAGTCTCAGTGTCTTGCGAGTTTTGTGATCAATCAGGGACTCGTGATTCCGCTCGGGCTATTACGTGTTTTAATTCATAATAGTTAGTGTTGTTTTTATGTTGTGCGATTCTAATTGTTCGCGTGTTGTGCTACAACCCTCCAGTTTCCAAGAGGAGGTGAGAATTCATCTTTATCTGTTCTACCGTCTGAAACACCATGGCCTCTATCTCCCAAATAACTGTGAATTGCCACTCACACCCTGTTTAGTCATTTCTCAAGAGGCTTTCATCTTGAGGTCATTTCCTGCTCTATTACTCGCTCAGAACCTCTCACGATTCATTTTACCTGTTCGTTCAGTTTATATTCTTGCTGATCAGCTGATTGCCTCACTGAAAATAGTTTCAGAACCAGAACATTTTAAAACCTCTGACAGAATTAGTAGTCAGAGCTTCTTCATAACCAAAAAATCAGCCAGCAACCTGTTTGCTGATCGGGCATGCAATACAACCATGTATTCCATCTACCATGAATTAAACTTGTTAGATCGCTCGGTCTTGGCACATGATCAAATCCATTGGTTTATTCTAATCTGGTCTGTATCCATTTGAGCACTTGTGAGCCGAATTTTAATACCTACAGATGTTACCATCTTGACAATCGTATATTCGACGCAGGATAAAACGTTAGCATTAAATACGAGGCTACGATGTTTCTGTATTGCAAGCTCGAAGCTCAACTGTACACTTATTAAAGTTCGTTGTTTGATTTACCAAAAATTGTAAACTATCAGTCCCACCAATTTCTGCTCTTCAACCAATTGATCATGAGAACTTGCTCATCCTATATCGAGACAAACACCAATCTCTGATCAGTCCTATATCAACACCTTTTAACAGGCTAACCCAAGTAGTCAGATAGCCCTAGTGGCGAGTGTTGATGTAAATTAGATTTAACTTCTGTCTCAATACGCGATGAGTAAGCTCTGAGGTAGTAATCAAAGTTGTTTTAGGTGTACAGAATTTGCTTAAAATTTTCTGAAATTTATGTGGTTATGCCGATAGCTTCAGCTTTTGCACAAAGAACATCTAAACTCAGCATATCTTTAGGAGCAGAAAGAGAATCAGTATATCAGAACCTAAGGTTGGGCATCATTTCAGGGAGGGCTGGGGTAGAATGGGATAAGGGCATTGACTCAACAACCACTTGTACTTTGAGTATTAAAATGCCACACTACACACACTGCGGCTACTGTGTGGATTTAAGTTGGAAGCTACATGCAAAGCGTAAAAGTAATACTAAAGTAAATTAAATCTCTCTTGGCTGGAGCACAGTTTGATTTGTTGCTCATGAAAATGGTCTCAGTGACTAGGTTTTGTATGCTCTTTCGAGAGTGTCGTGGTCATGATTGTCCGAAAGCAATGAGGAAAATACCTCTCCTTACCCCTCTCTCTACCATGCGAAAGAAATAATTAATTTGGAAAAATTTCAGTGTTTGTTCTCTCTCATGGCCATTCCTAAGCAAGAATTACATTTATGTATTCACAGCTTTTTTTCTCTGTGGTCTGATGGGAACAGAACTGCAAAAACACACTGATTGAGAATGTGTTAATGGCTAAAGCAGCCTCTTTCCATCACTTTTAAGCAGTTTTCAAAAGCTGGTTACAGCCTGTGCAGACAAGTTAACGGGCCTTTAGAGTATGACTGAAGATCCACCATCTCAATTCTTGCATTTGCTCTCATTACTGAAATGAACGCGGCCTGTCCTTTATGGTACTCTAAAGTCAGTCAACCTGCTTTGCCTGGGCTTTAAACAGTGTCTAACATTTGATTATGGACTCAAACTCTTCACTAAAATAAGAAGTAAGCAGTTGAGTTTAAAAGTAGGTATTAATAAGTGAGCAAAAAATATTCTAGCATTCTTGACTGTAGAACTTCTTGTTTCTTCTTGCATTTACCTACCATAAAATTTACAACTAGCAATTGAAAATTAAACTTGACCTTTTTTGATTGCAGGTGTTTGTGTATGGTGCCTTGAATATGGTACAAGGAAGCTCAGGCTTAGCGTCGTATAATGGAGCTTCAGGATATAACTCTACGTGTTCTGTATGACTTCAAGTATGCCACTAAAGATGGAAAGAAAGTGGAAATTAAAGAAGGTGAGAAACTGTATCTTATAAAGAAGACTAATGAGGATTGGTGGCAGGTCATCCGCAGTAGTGGAAAACCTTTTTATGTGCCTGCATCGTACGTCAAAGAAGTCAGACGCATCAATAATGAAAATGCCAAACCAGAAATTCTCTCTAATTCCAATCCAACTTTTGTCAATGACAGTAATGACACAAAAAGTCTAGAGTGTAACCCGACCCCTCATACAAATGACTTTCGGGAGAGGTCTCACTCTGTCGATCATGTGCCTGAAAGCAAAGAGAAAAGACCCGTCCCAACCAAAAGAACAATTTTTGACAAACCTATTCCTCCGTATGAAAACATTCCCATAGATGAAGTGGCTAAAACAAGAATCATTGATGGACATATTACCACTGAATCAGTACAGAAGTCCTCATTTTTCAGAGCTGCCACGTTGGACGAAGAGGCTGATTATGTAAACCTTCGAAAAGAGGGAGACGGTTTTGTAATTGATGACAGCCCTGTTAGCACGTTGAATTCATTGAATTCCTCAAGAGGATCTATTGGAAATCAGTCAACACAAAGTGACAAAATTCCTGGGACAAACGGTTACTCTCATGTCAGCCTTAACAAGCAAGACTCGCCCGTCAATGTCACACCGATAAAATTGACGAACTCTTTAGAAGAGTTGAACAATGAAATTAAACTAAAAGCAGAAATCATCAGCTCGAACAAGAGTTTGAATCTGCCGATCAAAGAATCAAGCCGAGAAGAATTGAATAATCATGATTCAAAAAATAATCTCCATTACAGTGGTAGTTTTAAAACCAAACATGAGCGGGCGAAGTGGGGTAAACAGCAGCTGTTGCCCCCCGCGCGGGAAGAAAAAAGCGATGAACAAGATTCGGAGCCTCCGTCACCAGAAGTTGAACAGCCGGCACCTGAAAAAGAGTCCAGTAACATGGAAACACCAGAATGTGATCCAAAGAAGAAAGATTCCGAACCGATATTCAAGCCCTCTGAAACGGAGGCGATCAAAAATAAAGAGCCATTGATCATCGAAGGTGATAGGAAATCTATATCCGCCCTGAAAAACAACTTTGAAGCCAAGTCTGAGGACAGTGGCAAATTGACAGGTCGTAAATCGTTCGATGGCCATGCTGAACCACCTCGGAAAATCAGTGAATCGAATCATGTGAAACAGATAGTGGAAATATTCAGCAACAAGGATCGCAACACTTCTCGGGAGAGTATCCACAACGACTCAACGGAGTTGAAGGAAAATAGTTCAGTGTCTGTGAGTAGTGTAGTGCAGGAGTTGGACCGCCGCTCTAGTACCATGGATGTGAGTCGGTTGTCCACTTCGGATAAAGGCTCCACGGAGAGTCTTCTGGATGTAGACTACAGTTTAAATCGTAGAAAAGCATCGGTTGGCACGACTGCCTCGGAGTCAATTTTGCAAACGGATGATAATTTTTCGGAAAGTGGTGATGACTTAATAATGGATTCATCAAGGAAAAGTAGTTCGAAGGTCACTGGAGATCGGAAAAAACGAAGATCATCGCTGAAGAGGAATAGAAGGGTGAGTCCATTTTTCTTCTCTTCTTTCTAGTGCTCCAATGAATGTGTAATCTTTAATGTTCTTACAAAACCCGGTAGGGAAACGCTATCTGCCGCGAAAATACGAAGTAAAACGCGTAATTTCTCACTGTTGTACGAAGCCGCCGGAAAAAGCGCGAATTTGTCGCGATCCTGAGATGATAATAGTCCGTATAGTTTTTTACGTCTCTACAAAACCGCAGTAAAACGGTATTATATTCGCGTCATTAAATGTGGAAATTAAGCGCGCAGCTATTCGAACTTCGGAGTTGGTATGCGGTGTCACCAGGGCCGGATTAAGGGAGTGGCCACATGGGCCGCGGCCCATGGCGGCAAAATTAGGGGGCGGCAAATTTTGCAATTTTTTAAAATGCAGGTTCAAAAAAATCGGATTCAGAAAAAAATTACAAACAAGAAAAGGGGACAAAATCTCTCATTTCCTGAGGGTTCATCAATGTATAATTTTGTCGTATTCCGGTGATACGAAAGACTGCGCACCTTTAATTAGTTGAGTTAAGAGAGAAACCAAACACGTAATTTGGCCTGGAGCGGCGCGGCGCAAAGAGAAATGATGACGAGGACTTGAGATGAAAAGGAGAAGCCCTCGACTTGGCGGTCGGCATGTAACACATATTAGCGCCTACGAGACTGCATGAATACTTCACGCATTGCGTCAAACACAGTACGGTCAACAGCGGTCGCGTCGGCGCGGCGAGAAACGCACAGTGCCTACAAGAATACATGAATACTTCACGCATTGCGCCAAACACAGTGTGGTCAGCGCGGCACGGCGGCGGAAGTTAAAATTATTAAACCACATTTATGTTTGTTCTGTCTTAATTTTTTAGTTCATTTCTTACAAATGAGAGGCTTTGTCCCCACAGAGATAGGTTTACGGAACTGAACTTTCGCGCAAAGTTCTGTGAACTTTTGCTAGTAGTGTTGACAGGGTTTACGCAAAAAATGTGTCCAACTCGAGCGAACGCGTCTTATGCACCCTTCTCCCTCCGGCACGTTCACTTGATGGTTTTTACTGATATTTCAAAATGAATGAGAAGAGGGCGGCAAAATACAGGCGGCCCATGGGCGACAAGTAGGTAAATCCGGCCATGGGTGTCACGCGAAAATGAAGGCGCATTTTGGCTTTTCTCCCGTCTCAAATTACGCACGTTTATGAATGCCGTGATATTCATGTGAAAAGTCAGTCTGATGCTCCCAGGGGTGCAGGAAATGTCCGATGGGGAAGGAGGGAACATTTTGAAGAGTCAGAGGTCCGTGAACCAGTGAGCCTCAGCCGGTACCATTCAAGAGAGCAAGAAATACTGCCCGAGGGCTTTTTTCATATTTTCAATCTTTAGAAGTGAAAATTTCGTCCTAAGTTAAGTCAGCATTATTCGTCGCCCCCCCCCCCCCCCCCCCCCNTCCCCCCACGAAAAAACGTAACTGCATTTCGATGTTGCCGAATTTCCCTTCGCAAATTGCAATTACACCTGCAGAGTCTTGGGCATGTCTAAGTAACTAAAAATCTCACTGATTTTTCATCGGAACTCATGCAAGCATCAGACAAATTTTGGACCAAAATTGCACAAATACATTCTTGTAAAAAGTTTAATCGTTTGAGATAATTTTGCAACCATGGAATGGTGTTACGTTCCTTCGTCCGGGAAAGTACGAATTGCAAGAAAAAACAGATAAAAAAACTTCTTTTTTTTTTCTTGGAGGATGACAATACTTCCTCTCTACCCTAGAGGAGCGAGAAAGTAAAAATATTTTAGTGGAGGCACCTAAGTATTTCCCTAAGTCCTGAGAAAGTCAGAGAATAAGCCATTAACAGAGTCAGTGAAAAGCAAAAAAAAAGCTATAGAAGTGTCAGGGAGTCGAAAAATGAAGAAATTTTAGAAATCCTGTCGATCTACTCAACCGTCCTCGGCGATCTGCTCTCAAAGAACAAAATTTGTCAGGTTCCTCGCTCCTAGTTTTGTCAACTATATACCTGCCTATGACCAGTGACTGCGTATGTTACAAATCCAGTTATCAACGTAATATATTGTTATTTTTCATACGGTTCGCGGCAGTGTGGTATTAGGGCCCCTGAGGAGGGGAGGGGGTTCTGATAAACAGCAAGATAAGCCTACTCAAGTGGTCGTGGTTCTGCGGCGTAAAATCGGCTAAGCGTGAAATGAGCTGATAGCCCTGTATGCGCACGGTTCGCCTCTACAACAACGCCTTGCGAGCTCATTTATTCCTCAGGATCCACGCCCGTCACCTCGAGGGATGGAGGGACGAAGAAAAGCAGCGTGTGAGTCCATGATTACATTTCAGTGTCTGAAACGTTTAGAGGTACATGGAGATACGTTCGAATTATCTAATAGTGGCGCGGCAAAATTCGAAAAGTTCCCGCCGTAAAAGACTTCTTTCTTTCTTTTGATTTTCATGAATTTTTGGAGCCTCATCTTTCTCCTCTCCATAAAAAATTAACGGCCCCGGCAGTTCGGAATTTGCGCCGGTCTCGAAAATTAGGAAAGTCTTCCGAGTTCACGGCGACCTGAAAAAGTCGGGGAAGGTGTTTATATGTAACTGGATTTGTGAGGTATTCTTTGGATCTGTGATTCTGTGTCTAGGAGATATTCTTAAAGCTTTCAAGATCAAACTTGGGGTCAAAATGTCTAGATGTTTTTCCTCCATAAATAAATTGGTACCTAATAATTCAAGTTTGATTTTTTGGAAGGTATATCTCTTTGCACGGATCTGGTCACTTGATAAAAGTTCAGGTTTTTTCTGGATAGGAGGGAGTTACTGCTGACCTTTAACGGTTACACTCTGTTCCACTTAGTGTCAACCTGGCGTTACACAGGTCAAAACCATTTTCTTTGCCCTGGGGTGCCCAGTCCAGCACCCCCTGTAGGTAACGCGGTCGAGTCATCGGCGCAGTATGACGCGCCTTCAATCCAGCTAGCGGCAAAATGCTTACACCCGTGGTCGAATAGTTATCTCGTTGCGCATGCTGCGGATGAATTCAAATTCCGGCAGCTGCTTGCGAAAAGAGCGTCTTTATCCATCCACGATTGCGACCTCAGTTTATGTTTTACTCTTGATCAATTATTTTTTTAAAAAGCTTCGCTGAAAAGGTCCCGAGAATTTTCGTAAATGATTTCAAACAAAATTGAACACAACTTCCCCGAGATTTTTTCGTTCGATCTCAGTCTTTTTTCAACCGAAAAAAATTAAAAATGGTCCGAGTTTCCGAATCAATTCAGAGACGTTTCGTAAAAGTAAGGGGTACCAATCGGCCCGCAAACTGCTGCTTTTGTTTTCTCTTTGGCTAAAAGCTCTAACTGTGCATATTAAGAGGTACTTTCTTCGTATATAAATACGTTCATTATTCCTTGAGACCCCCTCTTGAGGCCTCCGCTCCAGCTGAAGCCGATGAACCTACCAGAGATTGACTCAGAAGTGGTAGCGCTCCGCCTACAGGTTCTTTACCCTTACCAGCCCTCAGTCTGCTCCGTATCAGTCCATGAGAAGGCCCGATCCTCCCTGGAAACGAAAAGTACACAGGACACGGCTGGGCGGTTCTAAAATTGGAGTTTCTCCGCTCCATTTCTCAGGCGCACTCCGTCATTTTTTCTGTTTACTCTGCCGGGTCGCTTCCTTTCCCCGCTGATTTGCCTCCTCCGTCGAAACCGAGAGGCGACTCGCCCCAATAAGCTCCAGCTGGAAATCGCCCAGAAATGGGAGTCGCGTCCTCGTCCGCGTTGCCGTATCCAGTGGCGATTTCCCCAGTTGGCAACATTGTTTTTCCTCCATTTAAAGCCATTAAAAATGTCGATTTTAGGCGAAGTTAGCTGCCTCACTGAGAATCGATTGTTTTTAATACATTTAAATTGATAAAAAGCAGTGTTTTCCTCCATGTTGTTTTTCCTTCATTGAAATCCATTAAAAATGTCGATTTTAGGCCAGGTAAGCCGCCTCACCAAGAATCAATTGTTTTACATACATTTAAATTGAAGGAAAGTAGCGTTGCCAACTTTCAAAAATCGCCATTGACCGTATACTAATGCTGATAACGCTATGGAGTAAGTTATGAAAGATGGAAAAGAGCCCCTAAGATTTTCCTCATTGCAGTTCTTGTGATCGTCGCCACGTTAGCGATTCGAGTGTAAATTTCAAATTTTCGAAATTTTTCGACATTCGTCAAATACCTACAGGTCCTTTAGGTTCAACCATGAGAACACACAGGAAAACTTAATGGGTCGTTTTTTTTTTGCGGTATCCCTCACACAACGTAGGTATCGCGAAAAACTATAAGTTCGTAAGTATGATTTAATACTAAAATGGAAACTAGCGAGCCAAGAATTCCCTGAATTCGTCCGAGATTTCTAGGTATCAATTAAATTTTAACTCTGAAAGTTTCGGCGGATTTTGGCAATCTCGATCATTCTCAATCGCGATCTTTGCCTCTCTGAAAACCCCATAGACACAGAACAGAAGCTCGTCACGGATGCGAGTTCGTTAGTTTTTAAGAGCACACAGACGGATTGATATGCGGATACCGGCGCGGCGCGGCGCCGCCAGTCGAAATTATTTTAAGTTTCAGGCGCGTCAAAACGTCTAACGTTAAGAGCTCCAGCGAGGAGAGGTACATGCATTGAGTGGATCCTCTACGAAATAAATCTGTCAACGATCATAACCACTTTCGTTTACGCCCCTCTGTGGAACGTATTCAGAACAATCTCTTGTTTCGAGCACTCAGCAGTCCTGCCCAGAGCAAATTTTCCTCTCGGTTAATAATAATAAAAATAAAACATGAATCAATAAAATAAGAAGGGTTTATTTGACAGGTTGAGATGGAATTCCTGATAAAAATAGAAAGATTCTTCAATTTTAAAAAATGAAAAAAAATTAGTGTTGTATCGTTCGGTTTTCCTCGCGTGCCTTACACAAAAATAGCATTGGCGAAGCGTAAATGATCGACTATCGATA